TGGGACGGACGTCCAGCTTATGTGTCTCAGATAATGACATCTTCCTCTCGGCCTTCTATAATAAGTACATGTGAAGTACGTTTTTCTGAGTCAGACGTCATTTTAAGGCAATTAAAAACACAAGCACTGCTCACTGCTGCCCGTCTCACTCTGACTGGACTCACGTGATGCTTGTTGTCATGGTAACGTCTACACTAATTGATACTCTACGCATGCGCATCATTTTGGATCTGATTACTTGTGGTGAGCATGTAAACAGAGATTTTCCATCAGATTTTTGAGGAGAGTGAAAATATAAACACCTCAGTCTTCATCTATAATCAGAATGTATTCAATTGGATTGGCGAAAAGTCTTTGCATGCAAACACAGCCAACACAACATGGGTGGAGTAGTGGGAGAGTGAGGCTAAACACGATCATTTGGTGGGTGGTGTTTCACAGTGATGTAGTCAAAATCAGAAGACATTTTTGAGACGGGCAAAGTCATTACATTTTGATGGAAGGGGTGCCAAGCACACCTAGTCGTGAGAAATGCCTAGAAATCACATGACCACCATGCAAGAGAACCCCACCTGCTTTCACAGTTCTGTTGTTTGATGGGGTAGTTGCTGTACTGTGCTGTACTGCATGGTGGAAAAATGGTTCAAACCATGGTAAAAACTGTATTTTTACCTGAATAACAATATACTGTTTAAAAGATGAAAAAAACTTGTCATGTTAATAATTTGTTATATACAGTAAGTACATATGCAATTTAGATTCAACTATAATCAGCAAAACAAGGTAATTTTAGGTGCTTTATTTCAAGTATTTTGGTAGTCTCATTGAGCTAGATGTGATCTCGTAATGGTAATATCTGGGGACGACTATGGGAAATGCTAAATGTGGGCAGGAAGGTAGAGTTATTAGGGTGGGAATAAACTGAGCATGAAATTTGTAAACCAATCCAACACCTCATGGAGGCCGTGCTCAAAGTAGGGCACGCTGGCTAACATTGTCAACACTGTCCGACAGACTTGCTGTCATTAACACATGAATGTAACACAAGTTAGCATGGCTGAAAAGCCCCCCAAAAAGTGGCAGTTAAGAATGTAGATGTGAGTTAAGTTTATGAACACATGCAGTAAAAATAAACAAGAGAAACAGTTCCATTAGCTAACAATAGAGTTTCTCCAGCCAGCTTGTTTTGCAGGAATTTGGGGGCGGGTTTTAGAGGGGCACACTTCTGTTAGCAGCCGATTTCAACAATTTAACGCTAAAAGTCCCAAGTTCAATATAGTTTTTTAATATAACATTCATGTTTAGTATCATACAAACATTTTTAATATTTGTATGATACTAAACTTGAATGTTATATTAAAAATCCAGCAAAGCCTGACTGAAAAATATTTTTATATATATATATATATATGTATATATAAAACACACAACTTAAAGCCCACCGATCAGATCTGAGAGCTGTGTGGGTGTGGCTAATGAGCAGCTTGACTGACAGCTCTCTGTCCAACACTCCTAGCCTGCTCCGCCCCTCATACAGAACTAAAATCACTATCCAACTTTGATGTGGATGCTAAGGGGACGGAAAATGTCACTGATGTATAGACGGACGGACAAAAATTAGAGAAGCGTTACTCAAGATTAGTTACCAATTTACATTGAGAGGAGTGAAATATGGTCAACTATATATCGGTCATTTATTGGTCATTGGTCAATATTCAAAGTATACTTAGCACATGTTTACTAAGATTAACCTGATTAGAAAGAAAACACAGATTTAGGTTCCCTGGGTCTTTATCCTAGTCTATGTAACTGGATGTATAGAACACTTTGGCTCTGTGAGACCAGAATTTAGGTATCCTGAAAGTTATAAGACATTTGTAATCTACCCATAATATTTTTTTTGGCTTCAGGATTTGATCACAACTTGAGGCACAAGGCATTCTGGATATTATGTTATACACTTGTCATTTAGAATCATCTACAGCTCTTTATATACTCAGTTTGAGCATATATTTTTGCATTTATCTGCAACCGAATTGTTTTTACATTATTAAAAACATTGATTCCAAGATGTTGAACGATAGCGGATGTTCCTCCTGTGTTGGTATAGAGCTGTGTGCGTCAGTGATGTTTCTGCAGTTTGAATGAATGAGGAGCACATGGCAAACCTGCACGCACACAGCTAACACTGTCCACTCCACCGCACGCCTGATCTGATTAGACGATGGTGGATGTGCTGTTTGTTTAAGACTCTGGCTATAATCATATCACACCTTTCTTTTTCCAGACCTCCTGTTCTATAGCTTCGGCCGTCACAGAAATCAAACTTCCTCCGGTGAGCCGCATGGACGGGCAGCATGAGGCAGTCAGGCGGCTAATGAGCTGGTAAAATGGTCAAGAAATTGATTTTGTGAAACATTTGTGGTGATTTTGGGGTGGGCAAGTTTGAAGTTTTTATATGATATGAACCTTAGCTTAAGGTGCTTAACACACATTTTTCAAAAAGGAAAATAATGTAGAACAACTCATCATAAGACATTTTTAACAAACTCAAAGCTCAATGACTAACAGTAAACATCATACTTATTAAAATATAGATATATACTATATACACTTATAAAATGAAAATATACTCTAATTAAGCTGAGGTACTGATTAAGCAAAAAACTTTACAGCAGTCGTTTTATTACTGAATTTGACAATGTGACTATTTTTTTTCTCCATTCTGTGATAGATATTTGGCAAACTGATCCCAACACAGTACGTCATTAATAACTTGTTTATAATCAGGGCTGTCAAAGTTTAACTCCACTAAGGTTTAACATTGTTCATTTATTTTGGTAACAGTGGTGCAGGATGAAGCCCAGCTGCAGAGCGCGTATGTTGCTGTGATAGAACCTGTGACTATAGACCTCTTATTCAAATCCAGCTTTTAAATGTCTTTTAAAGCGATACCTTCAGCACCTTTAACAGACTGCGCTGGACAGTGCTTGTGGGAGTTCTCCGGATAAATCAAACTAACTGGTGGAACTCCAGTTCCCTAGAGAGCCTCCACTGTAACAAGAACCCAGAGCTGTATGAACAAGAGCGAGAGGCTACAATCACTCGTTGACTGTATATATGATATATACCTTCATTGACTGTATATACAATATACTGTATATGATATATACTTTCTTTGACTCTATATGATATATATGATATATACCCTCATTGATGGTTATACAATGTACTGTATATGATATATACTTTCATTGACTCTATATGATATATATGATATATACACTCATTGACTGCATATATGGTATATACCCTCATTGACTGTATACACAATATATATGATATATACATTCGTTGACGGTATATATGAAATTTACCCTCATTGACTGTATATACAATATACTGAATATGATATATACAATCATTGACTCTATATGATATATATGACATATACACTCATTGACTGTATATATGATATATACACTCGTCTGTATGTGATATAATCCCTCACTGACTGTATATATGGTATATACCCTCATTGACTGTATATATGATTTTTGAGCAAATATGAATAAAGATGTGATTATTTTGCAGTTAACTAAACAAAACAATGCAGCTGACTGATTAACTACACAAATGAATGTGATTAATCACAATTAACAGCAAAAAAGTATGCGATTACTTGTGATTAACCTCAAAATATTGCAATAATATTAATCATGGTTACTCGCAGTGTTTTGTGTTGTTAGTCACAATTCCTTATTTGAATCATTTGACAGCCCTGTTTATAATATACAATCACATATGAGACCCACGTCTCCAGTCCCAAGTGACTCTGATTTGACGTTCTGAATGAGGAGCTATTTTGTGCCATCAAAACGGGCTGGGATGGGCTGATGTGCCGCGGGCCGGAATGCTTCTATTTTGAGGCGATACTGAATGTAAACATCACACGAACATCCACAATAGGCTCCAAATAGGCTAAAACACCCGCCTGCTGTACCATCTACTCTGTTTATGCTTATGTTTTTGACACTTTGTGATAGAAAATGAAAGCTGGCATGTTGCTCCATGCAGTCTTTGTAGAACAGTCACCTTTGACAATATAAAGGAAACACTTTAAGGCCATTTCAAGGTAAACTGTGGTCCGTTTTAGCCGTCTCAAGATAAACAAGCTCACAGGTAAAGACAGACTTTGTTAACTGGGTTTTTTCAAGCTAGGTTTGTGAAGAACAGCCATCAATACCAAACAGAACAACCGAGCAGCTGTAGTCTCAATTTTAACACGCTGAAAAATGACATTAAATCACACAGCACTGAATTCGACTCGTTTTGAAGCTTTCTAAATAGTTTCTTCATGTCTGATTGTTCACTTTGACCGATATCTTTGGAAAATGTTTGCACTGAAACAAGTTTCAAAGCTTAAACCTTAATATTGTAATGCTGAAGGAGTGCAGTTGACCCTCATGATCACATTTTAAAGCCACAATCAGGGATTTTTGACCAACAAAGCCGTTGATTATATAAAACAGTATATTTATAATATTTAAATTGTTTAAACAATGTAAATAAATAATTGCCAACAGTAGATTTCAGCCGTAATGGGGTGAAATAGCTGTAGAATGAATTGTTGCTGTCATAAAAAAACTCGTAATTCCATTTTTACATTGTGTGAACATTTAAGGACAAATGCACCAGCAAAAATGCTTCATAATTGGTGCCCCTTGTGTTCGAGCGTCACCTTGCCACTTGGAACTTAGTTACAAGCGGTAGTGGTTTAAATCTTCCTCTACGAAATGGGACCCTCAAATAAATTAGAACATTACTTCATTAACAGGCTACTAGCGTATTCCTACTTGTGGCTTTAAAGGTATTTGAAGACCCTGTTTCCGAAGCCTGGCCCAGCACTGTGTGAACAGGTAAGGCTATTGGTTGGACGTGTTTAAAGGACAATGAGAACGGCTTTGGTTTCAGCAAAACGGACGAACGCTAAACGTCACGGAGCGGCGCCGGACAAACACTGGGGACATTTCTCACAAAATCAGCCATGTGGTTCTGATATTCGGATAAAGTCTCTATTCCCCCCACACCTCCTCTTCATTACAACAAAATAGAATCTAGAAGGGCACATACATGGCCGGGGGCCGTGGGGGGGGGGTCAGAAAGAGGGAGGGGGCGGGGCTTAATTACTCCGGACTGTCTGGGTCCATATCGTCTCCCATCTGATAACTGGACCCCTGGGTGGAGTAGGAGCGTGTTCTCATAGAACAGTTAGAGTCCATCAGGATGGCCTGAGAGAGAGAGACGGAAGAAGCAGTGAGATAAAGAAGCGGAAGGGAGTAAGAGACAGACATAAGACAGAGAGAGAGAGAAAGAAAAGAAAAATAAGAGGGAGGGTGAGAGAGAGAAAGAGAAAAGATTAGATAAAAAGAAAAATTAGAGGAAGAGAGAGAAAGAGCAGGACAGAGTCATTCATACAAAGAAAACATAATAACATATATATATATATAATATGTAAAGTTGTCAGATGTGGTGTGAAAAACTTTTGAATGATAATTTCAGGCTTTACAGGGCGACTCGCAGCAGAACATGCTCACCATTTTTCAGTGTGTTCTTTTTTCTCCACACTCAGTAACACTACTTCTTTCAATTTTATTAAACGAATGTTACATAGCGCAGTTTTGAAGGTTCTGGGTTAGCAGCTGCTAGTTGTCAGAATGACAGTAATGGGCGGGCTGTGTTCCAAAGCCTAGGCTGCATTTCTCTGCAGCTACGTCATAGAAGACCGTTCCAAAGTGAAGGGCCCTCCGTAAACAGCCTAGAAATGCAGCCTACGTTCTAAATGATTTCAAGGATGTAACTGATGTATCCTTCCAGACCTTTGGTTACCCACAGTTCTCTGCGCACAAATAATGCGAAGGAAAAAAGAAACAGCACCAGGAAAATGGTGTAACGTGAAGCCATTGGAGCAGAGCTTGTTTTAAAATGTAAGTTGTTCATGTCATCACCTCTCCTGATTTCATTTTGCTTCTTCATGTTTTCACTTCTTTGATGGTGTGGATTCACCCTCCCTCACTTTTTCTTGTGCTAAATAATAAGTCTAATCCTATGTTTGTCAAAATTTGGGTTCTCAAACTTTTCACAGCATAAAACGGTCAGCCAGAACTGGAAGCGATCACTGATTCTTCTTCTTTCTACGTCTTTCAACCGGTGCTACAGCGCCAGAGCCGGTTTATAAGTAGCCTGGCCACTACTTATTTCCCCCGTTATATCAAAAACATGACTGCAAAACGCACCTGCGAATGAGTTCTCAATTTAATCAATTGCCTAGAACTTTTCTTTAATTTTAGAAAGTAGAAGGATGTATTTCACTAAAAAAACAAAGAAAACTCACCTGTATGTTTCCTTTTTTCTACAGCAAATGGGTTTTGGGCAGCAGAACATTAGCATTACTGCTACTGAGTGCTGATTTTTTGGCGAGTGGAGCAGCTCATTGGCTGTTTACGCTCACAGACGTCATGAATGTACAGGCGCCATCTTAAACTCTAAAATTGTCTAAAATTGTTAATAAATATAACAGCTGTGTTAAAATGTTTATGCTGTTCTGTGTTCAGGAAATGATTGTATCCTTTTATAATAAAAATGTTTAAACATTTATAAACTATGATTTTGCGCAAAAACTCCATCTTAACCCATTCATTTTGGACTCACTTGGGAGCGCCCTCTAGTGTTTGAGAAAACCTGAAGACATTGAAGAGTGGTAACTCTCCTCTCTATAAGTTCTCTGACAGCGGCACCAAATTCAAGCTGCCACTTCAATGTAAAAACGCGAAAGGCACCCTCTAGAGCCTCTGGTTTTGGGCTACTGTAGAAACATGGCGCCGCAACATGGCGGCCTCTGTTGGAAGAGGGGCCGCCCCCTATGTAGATATGAAGGGCTCATTCAGAACACAACGATTCAGAGTTACAGGCTATTAAACACTAATGAACACATGGTTTTGTTTCTATATTCCATTTCTGCTAATAGAGCCCCCTAAATCACACTGCACCTTTAAGGTTTTCAAATAATGTATTCGGATCAGTGGTCCGATATTGTGCCTGCAGACGAGGCTCTTGGGGGTGTGTGTGTGTGCGCATGCATGATTGTGCATGTGCGTGTGGTTGGGGATACTCTTCAGAGGCGATGTAGTGCTCTTGTAGAGAAAGAACACGAAGCAGAGCTTTGATCAAAGCCTGCATTCGAGGGCAAACGCACGAGTCCGCTCCAATCACCATCACTCTTTGATCTTTGCTTGAGGGCATCCTGGGCAATCTTTTGTTTGCATCTATTATATAATATAATTTTCCATTTCGGTCATGTTCTATCATGTCAGAGGTTTGAAATCAGGCAGAATAAAGATGCCAAGTGATGTTCTGATGATTATTTTATTATTGACACAGTATTAGTAAGCACGATTGTAGCAGAACAGAAATAATGAAGGCATAAATCAATAAGAGCCGCGTCCTCACAGACCCTGAAGTGCTTTAAAGACGTCATAATAAAATGTCAGGCTGCGGATGAAGTGGGGTCATTCTGCAGAGACAGTGCTGCCCTTCTCAGTGCATATCAGCTTCCACACGGCCAGGGGTTAATCTACTGATTTTAAATACTTCATTAGACGTCAACTGGTTTTAAAGGGCCTGTGTCTTTTTCCTGATGAAAAATTTGTGAGGTTTTAAGAACCAAAAACATCATTTTTCCAAACCTCTTGTTATTCACAGGCTGCTTTCATTACTGTGCATTTAAGCATGATATGCTTTAAAAAGCAAATGTTTGAACACCCCGGCTAAATGTCGCGTGTTGTTGATTTTCTAAATGAAAATAAGTTAACACATCCTATAAAGAGAACACACTAAAATATGGCTAAAATATGGACTAAAAGTTATGTAATTGTTATTAATGTAGTTGTGTATTAGCAAAAGTTATGTCTATTTATTTGATATATTGGGGAAAAATAAATAAAAGTTAAAATGTGTCATACGGAGCCCCGCTGGTGACATCCTGTATAAATAAGGATAATGCGTGGCCACGACTTAGTAAGGCGTGGGAATGAGATGATTAAGTCGTGGCCATGACTTTATAAAGCGTGGGAACGAGATCCTAATGCGTGGCCACGACCTAGTAAGCCGTGATCTCGTTCCCACGCCTTACTAAGTCGTGGCCACACATTATTTTTATTTATACAGGATGTCACCAGTGGGGCTCCGTAGTGTCATAACTTTTGCACAGGTTTTATTTGTTTCCTCATATGTTAAATTCAGCAAAAAAACAGTAATTGTGCATCCAAATGTGCACAAGTAGAGGATTTATTTTCAAGCCACAAAACATAATTTGGCCAAGGGTGCCCAAACTTTTGCATACGCAAATATGAATGACATCTATTCTCAGGTTTCGAGTGATGTCATACTGTATAGTCGCTTCCGTTTTGAGGACTGAATCGGGGGTGACTGTGCTGCGCGATGCCTTCGATTTCCTGTGCTTTGTGAATAATTCACTTGCAAGACGCGACAGAAGCTGAGAATGACGAGAGACTACACAGACCTTTAATTCAGTGCTTTCAAACTCCAGGCTTGAAGCCGCTGCACTGTAGAGTTTAGTGCTTTTCTCTGCTGTTCACACCTCGTTCAGCTGAAGAAGAATTTAATTAGCTAATAATATCAGGTATTTTAACCAGGGAAACCACAGTTATGTAGAGCAGGGGTTGCAGGACTGGAGCTGAACTCTGCTCTAACTGTCCATTCAAACGTCATTTAAATCTCCAGAAACAGAGAAGTAAAGTCATACCCGGCTGTTTGCAGCTCTGTTTATGGGGACAACTGTTTATCTCTCGGCTGATAACATCAGCAAAAATTATCTAAAGGCTAGCATTGTTCACATCCTTGTTAATTAGCTGATGTGGCCTTACCCTTCCTATGACAACAGTGAGTTTTTTCTTCTCTTCATGCAACAGGGGGGAACTGTATAAGGATCGCAGCCTATTTTATCGACTCTGTCAAGGTAACGTTTTTTCTCTTCCAGAGTAAAGTGATTCATTTTAGCCATCTTTCATCTCAAGTTACGTTTGTGTGGAGCAGCAAAGCCAGAAATTTGGTCTCACAACAGAAAAATCACGTGACTGAAACCCTAGGAGATTTGCACTTGGGAGTGAACAGAACATTTTGAAACTATATTTTTTACAAAAGCAAAAAAAAATTTGGTTTTCCTTGACAGTAGTAGTAGTAAAATGTACAGACAAAAGCTTCATTCAGCCTTTATGCCAGCGGCTGCTACTGCATTTAACTATGCTAACATACCTTAGTCCATGTTTATAGATAACAGTGTGTTATACAGTAACCACAGGATCAAGTCTACTGGAGACACTGAACAGCTCCACACTGTTTGAGGCAAAAGATGGTGCACTTAGCACCATGATGCGGTTAGCACCATGCTATCTGGCTCCATTACTAGTTAGCTTCATTAGCCTCATAGCTCCAGCATAGAACTAAATAAGCAATCCTTTGATTTTTGGCTGTGCCACTGCTTTAATATAACAGCTTTAATATAGCGTCTCACCATTTTCTCCTCGTTAGCGGGCGGGTTGCGGAGGAAGAAGCAGAGCGGTGCAAACAGGATGTCCACCACGCCAATGATGGTCATTAGCCAGGGGAACCCAATGCTGCGTGCTATAGCACCACCAGCTGAGGGACCTGCAGGACAAAACACAGACATACAGCAACACATATTACATTTTACATGACACTGTAACATACCGTGGATCTCATTCATTTTCTATGGAAAGTGTTGTGTCTTGATAGATTTAAATGACATCTGCTCTGATTGGCTGCCCTGTATTGTGTCTCGATCAAAAAGCAGTCAGGGCTGAAACACTCCTTATAACTTGTGTTATAATGTGGTTGAGGTCAGGCCACTGGAGTTCCTCCACACCAAACTTGTCAAACCATGTCTTTATGGAGCTCGCCTTGTTCACAGGGGCTCAGTCATGCTGGAACAGGAAAGGCTCTTCACCAAACTGCTGCCACAAAGCTGGAAGCATACAGTTGTTTAAAATGTCTTTGTGTGCTGTAGCATTAACATCACCCTTTACTGGAACTAAGGGTCCTGAAAAACAGCCCCAGTCCATTATCCCTCCTCCACCAAACTTTACTGTTGGCACTGTGCATTCCAGTAGGTGATGTTCTCCTGGCATCCGCCAAACCCAGATTCATCCATCAGACTGAAGAGAGTGAAGCATGATTCATCACTCCAGAAAACCCGTTTCTGCTCCAGAGTTTAGTGGCGGTGAGCTTTACACCACTCTAGCTGACGCGTGGCTTTAGTGAAGGCTTGTGTGCATCTGCTCAGCCATTGAAGTCTATTTTATAAAGCTGCCAACACATAGCTCTTGTGCTGATGTTGCTTCCAGAGACAGTTTGGAACGCTGTGGCAAGTGATGCATCAGAGGATAAATGATTTTTATAGGATATGAGCTTCAGCACTTAATGGCCCCGCTCTGTGATCTACCACTTTTGTTTCACAATGATAGCACTTACAGTCGTCCATGGCAGATCTAGCTGGGCAGAAATATCATGAACTGACTTGTGACAAAGGTGGCATCCTATGATAGTGCTACATTTAAAGTCACTGTGCTCTTCAGTACGACCCTCTACTGCCAGTATTTGTCTATGGAGATTGCACTGCTATGTGCTTGACTTTATACAGTTGTTAACAACGCAGGCTGCTGAAACATCTGAACTCAATAATTTGGAGTGTCCACATACCTTTTTAGTAGGCCTGTGTCACTACAAAGCAAAAACACACTGTAACAGAGAATTCTGGCTTTGTATTTGTGCAAATTTTAACAGGGCAAGTCACCCAAACAGCAGATCTGCCCATATGTTTTAGTTACATACTTTCAAACTAGCTTGCTATTGCGATAGGTTTCTATCTGTCTGGGTTAGGTTACCCTGTCGCACTGCTCTCTTACTCTCCTGCATGTCTCACTTACATTACAATGATTTTGTTCTGGTCACTGTCCAACCACAAACATGCAACATTCCTTCTCTTCTGTTAACTGCTAGCTAGCTTATAGCCTGTTTCGATGTTGTAGATGGTGCTTGCAAAACATAATATACTAAGGCTTGTCTGCATAGTTGGTCATGGGCACATGGTGCCCATTGTAGCTCCGCAACAGGTTATAAGTGATTGTTTTTCTGCTTGGTGGAATAAAACAGTGGCCTTAAACTTGCCGGCTAATGGTGTTCTAGATGCAGATTAAGCCTACACACCAGTGTAGAATCTCCAGTGAAAATCATGTTGATGTGACAGACAGTGTTTTTGTTGATGTTCAGGTTGAACTGGTTCCTTACCAAAAGCGAAGCCCATGCAGAAGGCCACATCAGCGATAGCGTACACACTTCCATACACAGAGACGTGCCTCAGGTCCACCAGGTACCCCATGATCGGCATCATAGAGGAGTCCACCATGCCTAACACAGACACAACACCACATCACGGACGGAAAGATTCAACTGTCACTGACATTTTCACAATTATTAAGAAGCATTCAGAGCCCACACCTAGGACCGATTCTGGGCTCATCTGGGGGAGGGATTAATTATCATTTGTTTGCATTCACACAAGAATTCCATCCCAACTGTGGATCGACTGCACAATTGAAAAATGCTGCTTTTTATTATTTCCCTTGACTGCAAACACTCAAGCAGCGAAGAATGGATCTTTTTGGATGCATTGCATTTAATGAAACTTAACAAGTTGAAGCAGTCACATTACAAAATGAACCAATCACACAACCCCACACACGGCACCAGGGGCAGATAGATTCCACACATGCCATGGACCGCACCAAAGATTGCTGGAAGCAAACCCCAGACCACTGAGAGGACCAGAGGTCAGTACTCTGGAACACTCCCAGGCTCAAAAAAAGCTTTCACACTTGACCAAATGTACCGAACCTGCAGAGCAAGCAGTCCTGGGTCCAGAAAAAAACTCTTTAACTCATAGATCATCTGTGGTGAGGAGAGTCTACTGTTACATTTAAACTCTGTACGTTTTGCAGTCATACTGTTATTTTATTATTAAGTTTTGGTTGGTAACAAAAAAGCTTTAATTCTTGAAATGCCCAATGGAAAATTATCCACTTAGGATTGTTTTCTCTGTGGTATCTAGGTAAATACAGCCAAGCAAGCTCTCCCATTGGTTAGGACTTTAGAAGCTAGACCGAAGGCCTTACATGTTAGATTAACTACCAGTGGGACCATTTTTTGGGGGTTTTTTCCCTAACGTTCTCCCCAATTTAGTCGCTTGCCATTCCACCCATTAGTTAGGACTCCCCCAGTCACACAAGACCACCAGCGCTAGGAGGGCAAGGGCTAGCACAGGCTTCCTCTGAGACCTATGAAATGCCACCGCATCTTTTCGAACTGCCGCTCATGCAACGCCGTTGGACAGTCGAACACGCTCGGAGGAAAGCGCCAACCGTCAGATCTGTTGCGTCAGCTAACAGACGCCTGCACTGACTAGCATCGCACTGAGTGATGGGGGAAGAGGGGGGGCCATCCTTCCCACCCAGAGAGAGCGAGGTCAGTTGTGCTCTATTGGACTACCGGCCAAGGATGGCTGTAGAATCACCAGTGATTAAATTACCAAAAAATGTTCACCAGTGCAGTAACATACTATTACAAATCCCATATGGGTGCTAGCAAAAATTAGCATTAACGTAGAGGGGTTTTGATATTAGGGCCTGAACTGAAGCTCTAATAGTCAAAATTCACCATCAGGCTCAACACAAGACATAGAGAGAGTTAATGCTTGATTGCTGATGCTTACCAATCGCAAAACCGACTCCAAAGTTTGGCAGTATGAGTCCATAGATGTCCTTAGCGAAAGGCACCTGCGAATGGAAAAATATCCATGAAATCAGGGTGATCTGTGCACTAGTTCAAGCAGAACAAAATCCTATTTCCCTCAAACGCTGAAGGTAGAGCTCTAGCCGAAGCCGAGTGAGGCAGTCATGGACGCTGGAATGTTCTGTACTGGGTTCTGACCTCTGCTTTCGTGTTGTTTTTCCCAGGCTACAGAAGAGCTCTAACTGATGACCACTATGTGAACTGAGTGTTCCCATTACTACACACATACACGCACACCGACATTAATCTAGCAAAACATTTCAGAGAATGGGCTCACTTCCTCTCAGACAGGAAGTGAACAGGGCAAGGCTAGAGAGTCTATATGTTTTAATAGAACCTGCTTTTTCTCTCCTCTTCTCTCTGCTGACGTTTAGGAGAAGAACGTTCTTATTACTCTGTTGTTCTGTGCAAAATGAAAATAAAAACAAAATACAATGATGTGCAAATCATTTAAATCCTATATTTAATTAAAAATAGTACAAAGACAACATATAAAATATTGAAACTGAGAAATCTCATTGTTTTTAAAAATATATGCCCATTTTAAATTTGATGCCAACAACACCTTCTCCTTATTTAATTGTCTAATTATTATTATTATTGTTATGATTGTTAACAATAATAATAATTTATCTTAGCATAATTTCTTTGCAGCTTTTATTTGATGTTTTTACTATCTATTCCAGTAAATAATTAGATTTTTTCTAATATTTTAGTGTTCTTATTGTTTACTATCTACATTGGTTCTTTTACTTCATTTTAATGTGTGTTGTTTAGTTGGTAAATTTCATTTTCAATCCCTTGTAATTTGCTCGGGCTACACTGTAAATGACCCTTGAAAGTTCAGGGTCTCCTTTGTCGTAATTTTCATTTCATAATGTGCCAAATGTTGTCAGTGGGTGACAGGTCTGGACTGCAGGCAGGCCAGTTAAGCACCAGGACTATTTTACTACAGAGCCATGCTGTTGTAATACACGCAGAATGTGGTTTGACATTGTGTTGCTGAAATAACGAAGGCCCTCCCTGAAAAAGACGTCACCTGGAAGGCAGCATATGTTTTTTTTTTTTTAAAAAATCTTTATTTTAACATTTGATATGTTTTCTTTGTACTATTTTCAATTAAATATAGGTTTTAACCCTTTTGTGGTGTTTTTATTACATAGTGGGTCTGGTGGACTCACAGCATTATTGTTTTTTTAAATAATAACCATAACAATTTATGTAAAAATACCAGATGTTTAAAGTATCACAAGTGGCCAGCGTTTAGGGCTCCCATTTAGCAGCTGTAGCCAGTCAGCAGGCTGTCCTTGTTGTCCACCCTCACACAGACACACACACACACACATATATATATATATATATATATATATATATATATATATATATATATATATATATACAAACGCATACACACACAGGAGAACAGAGTGAAGGGACACAGCACCTCCACACTTTTGTTCTCCGCGGGTTCTTATAAATGTGTAGGGGGTGAACAGTGTGAAGGCACTGAAAATGTGTTATTTTATATATTCTTCACAGAAAATGAGCAAAGGACAAAGAATCTGAGGTTGAAATAATAATAAATCGCTTCATTTTTTATTTTGGTAAACATTGAAAATGGGTCCCACAGACCCGAACACCATACAAGAGTTCAATGATTTGCACATCATTGTATTTTGTTTTTATGTGCTTTTTTCAAGAAATGCATGAGCTCATTTAGAGTGGAGCTCAGGTCTGTAAACACTTCAATCAATTTGTTTAATCAGAGTAACAACAAAACTCATCTGATATGGGACACTAATTCCTATTCACGTGTTTTCTTGTTTGAAAATGTAGTTTGTGGCACAAACCAAACACAAATTTATGAATTTTCAGCCTTGTTGGATATTATGTTAGACGTTTTACATATCAAATAAATACAACAGCATCAAGAAATAAAGTTGGAGAAGAGCGGATTAAACACCAGAAACAGAAACATTTATCCGTCTGCCTTAAAGTAGTTATTTTTCAGTAACTACTACGAATAACGAACAATTGTTAATTATTCTGTATCTACTATTCAGTTTCTGTTAAAAGTGAACTTAAATTACAAGCTTCTTTTGGTAGTCTAAAAATCTGTCATGTTATTTTTTCAGTGCAGAACCTGAAACTTTATTTACAATAAAGCTGAATAACTTACACAGAGAATACTGACACCAACCAGCAGCATCCCTATCAGAGAACACAGCCACCTACAGAGAGAGGGAGAGAGAGGGAGAGAGAGAGAGAGAGAGAGAGAGAGAGAGAATAAGGGTGATAGACACAGAATAAGAGAGAGAATAGAAAAAGAAAAAGAGAGAGAGACGGGAGAAATAGAGAGAAAAGAGAGAGATGGAATGACCAGAAGAAAGACAGATAGATAGAAAGATAGAAGGATAAAAAAGAAAGACAGAAAGAGATTGATTGAAAGAGACGCAGAAGTAAGAGATGGAATGAGAGAGATATAGAATAAGAGACAGAGAGAAAGAAAGAATAAAAATGAGAGATGGTATAACAATAAGATAGAAAGAAAGAATAAAAATGAGAGATGGAATAACAGAAAGATAGAAAGAAAGAGAGACAGAAAGAAGAAAGAGATGGAATAATAGAGAGAATGAATAAGAGAGAGAAAGAGAAAGAAAGATTGAATAAGAGAGAGGTGGAATAAGCAAGACAGAGAGAGAGAGAGAGAATAAAAAAGATGGAATTACAGTAAGAGAGAAAGAAAAAGAGAAAGAGGAGAAAAAGATAGAAAAGAGAGAGATGGAATGGCCAGGGGAAAGACAGATAGAAAAAAGACAGAAGGATAAAAAAGAAAAAGAAAGGAGAGAGATTGAGGAGATGGAACAAGACAGGAAAAAAGACAGATTGAAAAGAGGCAGAAGAAAGGGATGAGAGGGGACAGAGAAAGAGAGACAGAGATAGAGAGAGACAGAAAAAGAAGAAGAGAGTGAGAGAGAGAGAGAGAGAGAGAGGCAGAGATATGAGAATAGAGAGGGAAATAAAAACAGTGAGTGGATGGACGAGGCCAACGATAACAGCGTCCACTTAGCGGCCCCTCAGGACACCACAGAAAGGTCAGAGGTCAAACAGAGTGAAGCTGCGAGTGGAGAAACTGCATCAGAAATAAAAATCCTTTATACTTTTTTTATATTATAATTTTTGACATCAAAACAAAGAGAAAAGGTAAAAAGTTCAGACTGAACGTGTCTGTAGTGTAAATGTGGTTCCTTTTAAAAGCTACAGATGTAATTAATTATGTAATTATGCAATTTGGTTTGGATAAGTGAGTAATGTAAATCAAATATAGCAAAACAACAATAACAATCTAGACTTCTGAGGGTTAAAGGTGCTCCAAGAAACATTTTCCCCTTAGTGCTTGTGAAAAACTCTTTCTAGGAAAAAAAAACAGGGCAACACTGAGGTCACTTCCTGTCCTGATTTACTGACAAAGGTTGTGGTTGACTTAATGCGGCCTGTGCAGCGCAAACTTATCGTTATTTATGCTGGTTCGAAATTCCATCCGACTTGTGCTGGTGCTGCAGAACGTCACCACGTCACATTCAGGTCAATGAGCCAGAGAACTTTTAGAGGGAAGAATTACTATTACTCTATAATGTCTTCCGGGTTTCTCAAACACTAGAGGGCGCTCCAAAATGAATGGGTTAAGATGGAGCATTTGTGCAAAATCATAGTTTATAAATGATTAAACATTTTTAATATAAATGAATACATTCGTTTCCTGAACATCCATCCATCCATCCATCATCTAAACCGCTTATCCTTCTGGGTCGCGGTGGGGTGCTGGAGCCTATCCCAGCTGTCATTGGGCGGAAGGCAGGATACACCCTGGACAGGTCGCCAGTCCATCGCAGGGCAACACTGAACACTGAACTGCATAAAACATTTTAACACCGCTTTTAAACTCGAGTTACAGGAGTTTGAAACGGCGCCTTGTGTACGTTCATGATGTCAGTGAGCGCAAATAGCCAATGAGCTGCTCTGCTCGCCAACCAATCAGCACTCACTAGCAGTAATGTTAACATCCTGCTGCCCAAAACCCGTTTGCTGTAAAAAAAAAGGAAACATACAGGTGAGTTTTCTTTGCTTTTTAAGTGAAATACATTCTCATACTTTTTAAACTTAAAGGAATGTTCTAGGCGAGTGATTAGAAACTATTTTAACATTTTATTTTTAGCTGTTTAGCTGCCTTTACTCCTATTCATTGAGGACTCACTCGCAGGCGCCCTCTGCCATTTTGCCGTCATGTTTTTTATATAACGGAGGAAATAGGAAGTGGCCAGGCTCCTCATAAACCGGCTCTGCATTAGCACCTACTGTTCTCTCTCCCACAGGGGGTTTCCTCCTTCTGGCAGTTCATTGTTTACATATGGTCACCATAAACACTATATTATTTACAGATTTTATTTCGAGCACTTCAATTTCGCCCACAAAAAGGGCAAACACGTGAGATCAGCCACTGTTGTGAGCTCATGCGGAGGAGAGCAGAATGTGTCCAGCTTGACGGCTGTGTTATTAGGCATATGGGAAAAATCGATTCTGAGGTGGTGGATGGGTGGTGGATCATTCTCAGCACTGCAGTAACACTGACGTGGTGGAGGTGTATTAGTGTGTGTTGCGCTGGTCTGAGTGGATCAGACTCAGCAGTGCTGCTGGAGTTTTTAAACACCTCAGTGTCACTGCTGGACTGAGAATAGTCCAACCAGAAATATCAAGCCAACAGCGTCCTGTGGGCAGCGTCCTGCGACCACTAATGAAGGACTAGAGGATGACCCACACAAACTACGCAGCAGCAGATGAGCTATCATCTCTGACTTTACATCTACAAGGAGGACTGACAAGGTAGGAGTGTCTAATAGAGTGGACAGTGAGTGGACACAGTGTTTAAAAACTCCAGCAGCACTGCTGTGTCTGATCCACTCGTACCAGCACAACACACATTAACACACCACTACGTCAGTGTTACTGCAGTGCTGAGAATGATCCACCACCCAAATAGTACCTGTTCTATGAGACTCCATGGGGGTCCTGACCACTGAAGAACAGTGTAAAAGGGGGCTAACAAAGTATGCAGAGAAACAAATGGACTACAGTCTGTAACTGTAGAACTACAAAGTGCACCTATATAGTAAGTGGAGCTGATAAAATGGACAATAAGCACAGAAACAAGGAGGTGGTCATAGTGGTTATGCCGTGGTATAAACACTATATTATTTCCATTTTTATGTCAAGTGCTTCGACTTTGTCCGCAAGATCAGCCACTGTTGTGAGCTCACACTGAGGAACTAGACTTTTTCGTAGGACCTTTCTCAAGTACACATTTAAGAACAAACTTAGGAGGATATCGCTGAATGAGGCTCACTGATTTTATACCCCTGCAGTCTTCGGCAGTTCACGTTGACTATCAAATTGAAAACGAACATAGCCAATAACGTATGACCAGTCACATGACCGACACAGAGAAGCCGCTAATACACATCCGAATTACGGAGAAAGTCGCTTAGCGCACCTTTAACCAGACAAACTAACCGTGTTAAGAGCAGTGTCAATAAGAACCAGCTCTGTTCTCTTAGTTTTTATTAAAAAACAAATATCACACATCAAAGCAGAGCAGCAAAAACTCATTTCGGTGTGTTTAATGGTGACGGAAACAGATAGCAGAGTGCGGAGAGATAAGAGGAGGAGAGAGAGATTCATTTCCTTCATACCTGCCCATTTTATTGGCCAGGACCGCAAAGATGTTCGTCCCAATCAGGTAGGAGATACTCGCAGGCAGAAAGGCAACACCTGAGAGAGAGAGAGGGAGAGGCCGAGAGAGAAGAAAGATAATTGAAAAATATAACATAAATTATCATGAATAATATCTAATACAGACTGAGGAAGAAACACATTTGCGGTTACATTTGCCCAAAATACCAATCAATAGCAGCCAAACACATCTCAGCTCTACATCATCTCAGGAAAGATCCTTAGGAACCTCTTTAGAAATAATAACATCATCACTGCTCATCTTCTCAAATATACTATTTATGTATTGTTTATTCATTTATTTCTTACGTGTATGCATATACATGAGTGTATGTGTATGCATATACCCCCCTCATTTGGTATGTGATTGGTTCCTAGGGGCCTCACGGTTGTAAAAATATGGTGCTGAATGGAATCTTTTTGAATCACCCTCTGTTTGTTTGTTTGTTTGTTTATTTATTTAACTGTTGTATAAAAGCAATAGAACATGTGAGGGAGTGTGTTATCGCGAAATAACATCATGGCTGTGATTTGGTCGCAGGCACGAGCCAAAGGCAAGTGCTGTAGATCATCATAGCCGTGATGCTATAGCGATAACACACGACCTCGAGTGTTCTATTGCTTTTATACAACAGTTAAATAAATAAAGCAATAAATTAATAAATTGGGCTGTGAACGCGGCGTTTAATATGTTTTAATGTCAGCAGTTCCTTCAGCCAAATTATAGTTCCTTAACACGCAGCTTGTTGCTACGTCAGAGTAACTCTTCTCCAACTCCACACAGACCAACAAATTAAACTTGTTTCACACTCAGTTTTTTCCTTGTCCGCTTGTTTTCTTCTACTTTTCTTGTTTTCTTCTATTTCTACCTTCTTGGTTCATTATATGATTTATACTTTTGCTGCACTAATTCCTGTCTTACTTTGGCTTCAGCGTCTCCTACAGCTGTCAAAGTCGTTGCTTACGGCGTCTCAGCGGAGTGATACAGTGTTTGTTATGTTATGGCGAAATATCAGAATACTTAGAACGCTTCTTAACCAATCAGCTTGCATGGCCGGAAATAACTGTTGTATAGAGAGGGTGAGAGGGAGGGAGAGAGAGAGAGAAAGTGAGGGAAAGAGAGAAAGAGAGAGAGGAGGGAGAGAGAAAGAGAGGAGGGAGAGAGACAGCAAGGAAGGAGAGAGACAGAGGGAGAAATTGAGGGGAGAGAGAGAGAGGGAGAGGGAGAGAGAAAGAGAAAGGAGGGAGAGAGGGAGAGATACAGAAAAAGAAGAGAGAATGAAAAAGAGAAAGAGGGAAAGAGAGGAAGGGGAGAGAGAGGGAAGGAGAGAGAGAGAGAGAAAGTGAGAGGAAGGAGAGAGGAGAGAGAGAGAGCGGAAGAGAGAGAGGGAGAAAGTGAGGGCGGAGAGGGAGAGAGAGAGAGATGAGGGAGAGAGAAAGAGAGGAAGGAAACAGAGGGAAAGAGAGGTTTAAAGGGGAAATACAGCAAAAAGAAGAAAAATAGAAAAGACCAAAAATAAGAATAGCGAAAGAAAAAGAAAGAAAAAAGGGAGAAATGGGAGAGAGAGCAAAGGTTGAGTGAGCAAAAAGAATGGAGAGAGAGAGAGATGAAGGGAAACAGAGACAGAGGTGTGATAAGACAGTGTCTTATCAGTCTGATCTCAGACGCTGTAATGAAGCTGCTCTCTTTCTCTCTCTCTCTGTCTTGCTCCTTTCTTTCCTTCACTCCCTCTCCTCTTTCTCTCGCTCCTTCGCTCCCTCCTCTTCTGTTAGTGACACTCTAATATCCTGCTGGACCACTGATAGCTCCCATAAACCCATAAACAACCACACACACCCGTATCTCTGTTCAGTTCAGCTGCGCACACACAGCCTGTTAAATCTCCATAGAAAAGCACTGACCATTAGAAAGGGACTCTGTGACGCAGCCACACATGCCAAACACACGCCAAACATCTATTAGAGGGGTCTAAAGCCCCCCCCCCGGCTCTGGGCTGTGGAGCTTTGGGACTGTGTTGAGCTCCATCTAGCACCTTCACTGTTAATCGCTGCTGGGATTTTACAATATTTTATTATGAGCAAACTATGTCATCATCATTTTATTGTGAAATCAACTCATCCTGAGATATTTTCTCTAACAACACAGCAAATTACTGTAAGGAAGACATTGAGCAGTACCGCATTGCATTATGGGATATAATAGCAACTGAGTGAAACAGGCATAAACATTTTAATGAAAATATTTTAAGTGTTCTGGTGATTCAGGTTTAGGTTTTTAAGGTTTTTTTAAGATGTTTTATGTTTTTCTGATTGCTTTAATGCTGGAACTCTGGGGTGTTGATAAAAAACTTAATATCGCCAGAAGTTTTTGGTCATGTTTGTTCAAGTTATACACAATATAGTGCAAAATATGGTGAATAAATATGTTCATTGTTATTGTTTCTGATTTTAGTTTCCATTACCCTGCATTTTCGTGATTTTATATATATTTTTTACCATAATTTTAAGGTGTTTTTTACATTGTGTGTTTACAGAGTGTGTTTACATGCACTCAAAAATCCGATCATAATCAGATTTCTGCAGTTATCTGATTATTCGAATGGTCACGTAAACAGCACACTCCAGTTTCTTAGATAGGAGTAAGGTCTAGAAATCCGATTAAGAAATCTGAGCTGGATTTTAGCTCAGTGATCAGATTTCTCAGTGCATGTGAACTCTTACTCTGATTTCTTTCGGATTTCTCAGTCTGTGCGAAAATAGATTCCGGTACCGGAAAAAGCAGAAATCCGATTACTGTCTGACTCATGTAAACCTGGTGTTTTCACATTATTTGATTACTCAAGTGCATATAAACGTGTTGATCAGATTACTGACAAAATCTGATTTTCTGCAGCTATCGGATTATTAAGTGCATGTAAACGCACTCAATGTGTGGAAGTTTCTTAACGAAACAGGCCAATAGAAACATCTAAATGATCTTGCATTGAAAGTTAAAGTTGCAGTGTGTAAAATTTAGGGGGGCTCTTTTAGCAGAAACATAATATAGTAAACAAAACCATGTTTTCATTTGTGTATAATCACCTGTAACTACGAATCATTGCGTTTTTGTCAGCTTAGAATGAGCCCTTCATATCTACATTGGTAGCAGCTCCTCTTTCAACAGAGGCCGCCATGTTTCTACAGTAGCCCAGAACAGACAAACCAAACACTGGTTCCAGAGCAGAGCTTTTCAGCATTTTCCACCTGATGGCCCACCTGTCTTTAACGCGAAAGCACAGCAGACCACAAGAAATAAAAGATTCTTTAATAAACTGTTATTTTTCTTGTAATAATTGTGAATGAAACAATAAAAACTTGTGAATTAGGGTCTGAAAAAGATCGGATCGTCCATTCCTATCACAGAAACCCAGTAATGGCACTGAGAAAAAATTGTAATGATGTTAACAAAAAATGTTTGGTCATAGTTGGACGGTGATGTTATAGAACAGTTGTCAGCTTTGAACCTGCAGTCCCTCGCTTTAGCGTGGTCAGTATACTGGTGCTGAATGCAGTATACAGTACACAGTATGCTATTTCAAACACAGCCAGTAAAATAACTGTACACTGTGACCTACAGTCACCCGAACCACAAGATCACAGTGATTTAGCTGTTAAATCTTTGTTAATAACCTTGTGTTCCAGCTTTTAAACGGTCAGAAAAGAAAACATAAAACTTTGACAACCTTTCAAACACCAAAACCTGAATCGCCAGAATAAAAACTTTATAAAATGTTTACACCCTCAACCTCAGAGCGATTTTCTGTGTTATTATAGAAAATATCTTAAGATGAGTTGATTTTACACTAAAATGATGAATACTGTGTTTTACTGTGAAAAATGAGCGTAAATATTGTGAATAATTCACCTGCTGCGATACACAGAGCGGCTAATCGATTTCTCCGGTCTGATTAACGTGAACATGATTTCCAGAATCCATTTTCGGTTCACTTTAAACTGGACACATTAATGTTTTGTCAAACAGTATGTCTGCAGTGAACATCTGGCGGAGCCAGTTTCTTTTTGAAAGAAATATTTCAGATGTTGTGTGTGCTTCTGTGTTTTCCTTTGTATCACATTTTAGTCTGTTAGCACACAGAGACTACGAAGGCAGCCTGAACTGAAAGTTTGACAGGACGTCTCAACACTAACTAAGGGAGGCAGGACTTGATTTTGGTAGCTGGCTAATTATTGATGTTAATTTGAGTTTATGGGGAAAACTGTGTTAGACCAGAATCAGTCACATATGCAGGGGCTTCGTACCTCAGGTGATGATGGACCTGCATGGGGGGCCCTCCAAAAGCCTCAGAAATAAGTTGTTCTATGTTATTATACAAATAAATAATACTAGACGGCAATTTTTCTGATTGTCGTTCAAGTTCTGCTCATCTACCTGTTGTTTCCGTACCCACAGCCCACCTCCCACACCAGAAAATTAGTGGTTTGATCCTCTGGCGCACACGTTGATCTACGTATTTTTTTGTCCTTTCTTTTAATTTATGTGAGGGGAGGGGGCGCTATGCCCCTACATATAAGACTGTAGACCTAAAAGTTTATTTTTATTTTAAATTGGATGTGTTGACACCTGTGTGTGTGTGTGTGTGTGTGTGTGTGTGTGTGTGTTACCAAGCTGCCATTTTCTGGCGCACATAGTTTCCATCATCCAGATGGGCAGAGCGGGCTCCAGCATCGCGATCGCCATGTTAGCGAAACAAATAGAGCCTGAAAGACACAGACAGAGTGAAGGAGCATCCTACTTTTCTCTTCCTCCCTCCTCCCTCTCTCTCGCTCTCCCTCTCTCTCTCTGTCTCTCTCTCTCTCTGTCCCTCTTTCTCTCTCTCTCTCCGTCTCTCTCTCTCTCTATCTATCTCTCTCTCTCTCCTCGAACATAATACCCAGCATTAACCATCACTTCACTCCCACAGCTGCACACCACACACACACACACACACACACACACACACACAGATGTGTCCCTCTCTCATTTCCTCTCTCTCTCTTTCTTTCTCTCTCTTTTCCTCCCTTTTTTTCTCTCTTCACTCCCTACTTTTCTTATTTTCCCTGTTTCTCTCTCTCTCTCTTGCTGTTCCTTTCTCCCCTCTTTTTCTATTCAAGTGTTTCTTTTTCTTTTTTCTCTCCTTTTTTCTTATAGTGTCTCTCTCTCTCTCTCTATCTTTCTGTCTCTCTATTACTCCTATATCTTTGTCTTGCAATCTCTCTCTGTTTCTGTCTATTTCGTTCTCTCTCTGTCTGTTTTTCTCTACTTCTCTCTCTCTATAATAACAAATACAAATAAATGTATTTTAAATATATATTTAATGAATACACTTTTGGCTATTTTCATACATTGCAAAAAGATATTTCATACTTTTAGAAAATAGATTTAAAATGTATTTTAAAAATATACTTTTTGATAAATGCATTTTTGGCCAATTTTGTACATTTTCATTCAAAAACGTATTTGATAAATACATTTGAAATATATATTTTTCCATATGGGTTTGGACATGTTGTGTGTATTGCATGTCATGTTTTTCCACTGTACTGACTGTTTTTCACTTTGGGACAAACTTGTCTCCAGAGTAAACTTCTGACAGTCAGTGTTTGTGATACTCCACACGATTTGGTTGTTGTTGTTGTTTGTTTGTTTGTCTGTTTGTTTATGTTTTTACTCACCTGCTGCGATAAGGATGTATGGATCTTTCATGAGGGTGATCAGCGAAGTTCCCTTTTGGCTCTGCAAAACAAAAAGGCACAAAAACATCTCACCAAAATTCACAATTATTTAAAAACCATAAAAATGAAATATTTCAATAGCAAATGAATTTGTAGAAAACGATGTACAGATTTCTGATTTTAGCTTTAATACAAGCCCAGCGACCAGAAGTATCTTTATCTGCTCTAATAATTGTCTAATATTCAGATTTTGAGAAATTGTCAATAATAATCCAGTTATTTGTTAAATGTAAATAATTGAGATGTGTTTGATTTTATTCAGAATGTATATTAAAGTGTCTGATGTGATACCATGACCAGCTCCTAGAGCCAATTATAATCTATAATAACCTGATCTAATAATCAGCATTAATAAAAAACTATTTAATAAATATGATTTATCGTTTTTTTATTTCATATCTGACTCTTGCCTATTGTGACTCCATCACCTGCCATATGAGCTAATTACCCTGCCGGCCCTCATTATATCAGCCTGTATTACCCCCTCTACCCCCCCCCAAAAGGCACCATCACCCATCCCACTCTAACAGCCCACCAGCCTGCAAACAACACTGAGAGAAGTGACACTAATGAGTGGAAAGGAGGCTGTGGTCAGCTGACCTCCTCCTCCTTTTGTGTGTTTGTTTGTGTTGAGGTCCTCACAAAGCAGCAGGTCAGTCTTAGTCCAGCAGTTTCGGTCAATGAAGTATCAAGATGTGCTATTAACATCTCCATAGGAGATTCAGACGAAGGTCCACCATCCTTTAACTGAGTACTGAGAGCTGAAAACTGCTTTAGAGGAACTGTGACTGTTTAATTTGCCTGCCTGAGGAAGAACATGAAGAAGAGAAGAAGAGAGAAAGAGAAGAAGAAGAAGAAGGACAAGGTAAAGAATAAAAATAAGAAGCAGATGAAAAAGCAGAAGAAAATGAAGAAATAGAAATAGAAGAAGAAAGAGAAGATATAGGAAAAAAGTAGAAGAAATAAGGAGAAGGAGAAGAAGAAAAAGAGGAAGAAACAAATAGAAGAAAAGAAGAAGAAGAAAGAGACAGTAGAAAGAAGAAGAAGAAGACGAAGAAGAAGGAGGAGGAGGAGGAGGCAAAAAAGAAAAAAGACAGTAGTAAGAGAAGAAGAAGAAAAAGAAGAAGGAGGAGGAAGAGAAGGAGGGAGAGGAAAAAGAAAATGAGACAGAGAATGGAAAGGAGGACAAGAAGAGGGATGAGGAAAATTAGAAGAAGGAGATGAGGAGGAGGAGGAGGAGCAGGAGGAGGAGGGAAAGAAGAAAAAAGAAACAAAGTAGAAAGAAGAAAAAGAAGAAGAAGAAGGAGGAGGAGGAGGAAGAGGAGGGAAAGTAGAAAAAAGAGACAAAGTAGAAGAAGAAAAAGAAAAACTGCTTTAGAGGAATTGTGACTGTTTAATTTACCTGCCTGAGGAAGAACATGAAGAAGAAGAAGAAGAAGAAGAAGAAAAAGAAGAAGAAGAAGAAGGAGGAGGAGGAGGAGGAGGAGGAGGGAAAGAAGAAAAAAGAAACAAAGTAGAAAGAAGAAGAAGAAGAAGATGTAGAGGTAAGAGAAGAATAAGAAGAAGAAGAAGAAGGAGGAGGAGGAGGAGGAGGGAAAGAAGAAAAAAGAGACAAAGTAGAAAGAAAAGCAGAAGAAGAAGCAGAAGAAGAAGGAAGAGGAGGAGGAGGAGGAGCAGGAGGAGGAGGGAAAGAAGAAAAAAGACAAAGTAGAAGAAGAAGAAGAAAGAAAGAAGAAGAGGAGAAGAAAGAATGAGAAAGAAAGAAAAAGCAAAGGAAGAATATTTAAATATCTAATCTGATTAATCAGATTAACAGGCGGAAGCTGCTAATGATCTGTGGTCTTTTCTGCTCTGTCCATGCTGAGAGGACAACAAATAAGCTCCCTCATTACCCACAGGTCACAGCTGTAACCTCTGAGGTCAAGCATGTACATTCTCTCCCTCTCTCCCCCACCGCCCTCTCTCTCTCTCTCTCTCTCTCTCTCTCTCTCATATCCTCCCCATTCCCTCCATCAGCTCTAACTCACCCACTGCAACACATACAGCAGTCCCACCCAAATATCCACAGCAACACAAAAATCAAAAATCAACAAAAACACAAACACATCAGTACAGAATCTCACAACTGCACAAATGGAAATAAACAACAATAACAACTAATACAAAATGAGCCAACTAACATTCTCTACAGCACTCAATAAACCACATGCGAACACCATCAAAATCAACCAAAACCAAACTCAAAACTGTGCAGTAGAGCTCAGGAGTTTTCAAAGAAGAAATAGCAATATCAGCTGATACTCCAGGTTTAAGTTTCAGAAAAGTTTCAGCAATGTGGCAAACATAATATTGCAATCCTTCAAGAAATTTTCATGATACGTGATATGTCAGGATATTTATTTTTTCAGACACGATCAGCTGGAACAGAGAAAAAAACACCTACATTTTAAAAACACTGTCAGAAACTGTGAACACTGTGATTTTTATTCAAATATCTGGCACTAAATCCAGTTAAACTGGACAAATGTTGCTCTGTTTATAATGAATCATGCAGTTGGCCAGTTTCTACAAGTACTGACGATATTTATAATATGTTCAGAAATGCATATCGTATTGTACTGTGACATAATTTATCATGATAACGATCCATGTCCTCATATTGCCCAGCCTTAATATCTGTCGTCAGCATTTATTTATTTATTTATCCATTCATTTCCCAATTTAGGCTACATTCACATTACAAGCCTCATTGCTCAAATCCGATTTTTGCTCAAATCCAATCTCTCTGACAGGATATTTTACACTCGTTTAGGTAAGTGATTCAAATCTGTCATTAATGTGAACGAACTGGCGTCCTGAAATGACCCGCAAGCGCACATCCTACTCAGCAACGTCACATGAATGAATCACGTGCGCCACATTCATCATCAGCAAACAAACTAACGAGCAGAACGAGCTTCGCTGTGAAGATAATTAACTCTGATCAGCATTATTAGAGCGAGACGAAGACGGAAAAGGTGAGATGTGCTGCTTTTCCACCGTTTGCAGGCTTTAACTTCTGTTTGGCGCTGCTGGCATGGTAACGCTGAATGATGGCGCACACACAGTGGAAAAAAAAACACATGAATTTCGATCTGAGCGTCACATTAACGTTGAATCGGATACGTATCCGATCTAGGACCACATATGAAAGTGACTCAGGTCGGATTTGAAAAGATCAGATTTGTGTGTCCACACAGCCCTGAAAACATCAGATCTGAGACACTCATTAGGGCAAAAAATCGGATTTGTGCCCCTTTAACCTGGTAATGTGAACGTAGCTTTAGTCGTATCCAATTCCACCCACGGCATCTCTTCAAACTGCCGCTAACGCAATGTTTGCGCTTGGAGGAGAACACTAACCGACAATTATGTTACATCAGCTAACAGACGCTTGTGCTGGCTAGCATCATGCTGAATGATGGGGGAAATGGGGGCCAACCTGCCCACCCAGAGAGAGCGAGGACAACTGCTTTCTTGGACTCATCAACAGGGATCGAGCTCGTGATCTCCTGATGATAGGGCCAACGCTTGGCTCCTATCATCCAAGCGAGTTGCACCACTCAGGAGCCCCCAGTTATTCTAATCATTAGTAACAGTAGCTATGTTAGCCTTTACTCACCTCTGGCTCAACTTTTGAGGGCTGAAGCACAAACAGCTGCAGAGCTGAAGACAGAAAGAAAGAAAAAAAGGCAGTTTACAAACTGAGCAACACACTGCAGCCATTACAGATACAGTTAGCATGGTGGCTAATAGACTCACCTCCGTCCAGCACTGCTAGAACCGCCAGGATGAGGAATGGAGCCGCTTTTCCCACAAACTCGTACATTACACTGCCAAACGGAGGACCCACTGAGACACACACACACACACGCGCCGTGTCAGAGTGAGTTATACATTCATCATTTTTTATTGTTCTTCTGTGGTCTTTCTTAGCTACTTCATCTTTTATGAACAGCTCTAACAGAGCAGCAAACCACTGTATCACAATGCAACACGGTTATAATACAGCTGTTGTGTATATAGACCTTATCAATGGGCCTTCTAGGCCTCCAGAGAGGGGCTAATGATTTAAAATTAAATTAAAATTGCAATTATGTTTTAGAAATTGAGGTCCAAGCCTTATTTTTTGGCCGATAAAACCATAATATGCACCTTTTCTGGCTTGAGGCTTAAATGTAGAGTGCCAAAGATCCATTAATCACGGTTGTGATGTCACAAGACATGGAGGTTTGGTTGCCTCTGATTGGTCTAACTCATTTACAGGCAGTTCACAGGCTCTGTGTTATTAGGTTCAAGATACAAGCTTTAGATAAAACATATACTGTCTTTCACAAGCTTCATGTTTAATCTAGAACAGCCAAAAAAGTTTAAATGCATTGCTGTTAGCATAGAGCTAACATACTATTAGAATCCTATAGGGGTGCTAGCAGAAATTAGCATTATCGTAGAGGTGGGTTTTGACCTTTATGGGCCACAATGAAGGCCTAGCTCTAAGTCACGGTTCGCCACTGTTTATTACATACAGTTATTCATAATCTTGTCGCTTTTATAGATACAGTATTACTGTACAGAAGTGAATGTGTACACACCCAGTACTCCCATAGCAAGTCCTCCCAGCGCAATGCCGATAGCATTTCCTCTCTCCTCATCATCTGTATACACACTCGCCAGCATCCCCATACCTACACACACACACACACACAGAGAGACACACGCACAGACAAATGTTCGAGTGGCTGATGTGTAGTTCCCATACAATGAGAGCACTGTTAAAGGAAACGTTTCATGAAAAAAAATGTACAAAACTTCGTCCTTAACTCAGACGTAATCCATCAGCCGAGACGTGTTTCACGTCTGTTTTTTACGTCTTTAGTTGTGCACCAGAGCTACGAGGCTAACATTGCTAACAAACCCTAGAAGTCAATAGGCACCCAAATCGTTTCTGTAAATATATCCCCAAAACTTCCCTCAACTCGCTCAAACTGCATCCAGGTCTTCATTAAAGTGCAGCAGACTTGTGGACACAGTGTGACTAACTGTGCGATATAAACATGAACATTTAAATGAACAATGAAAATGTACTGTGTCTGCTGAATTCTGCCTCACGCTACAGATTACATTCACAATTTCTGTTGTTTCTTTTTAAAAATAACAGTTAATCTTGATTTTTGTAAGTGAAGATACACGTTTAGAAATAGAAACAACAAAAACCTGGAACCGAATCCAGCATCCATATGCCTGCTTGACACGCATGCACACAAAGGACAGAGGGAATTCAGAACAGCACCTGTTGTCTAAAACAGCTGCCCACAGCGTTCAGTTACACCGTGGAGTTTTGTTCATGTTTATAGTTCACAGAGAGTCATACAGTGTCCTTAAAGACAACAACATGTCTGCACCACCTTAATGAAGAGCTGGATGTGGTCTGAATGGACAGAAAGCTTCTGGGTGACTACTGACTTCAAGTGTTTGTTAGCAGCATTAGCCTCGTAGTTCATTCATTTATTTGAGCTGAATAAAGTTTAAAACTAAAGTAGCAAAAAAAAAATTGGCTTCAATCCAGTAAGTACTAAATTAATTATTCAGTAACTATAATAAATTATTCAGCAATTGCTATAAACAATTCAGTGTTTACAATGAATTATTCGGTGACTACTGAACAATATTTATTAATTACTATAAATTGTTCAGTATTCACAATGAATTATTAAATAAGTACTATAAATTATTCAGTAACTGCTGTAAATTATTCAAAAACTTTGCATTGTTCAGTAATTACTATAAATTCAGTATTTACAAATAATTAATTAAGTACTATATATTATTCAGTATCTACTATGAATTATTCAGGATCTGCTATAAATTATTCAGTATCCGCTATAAATTATAAATTATTGAGTGTCTACTATAAACTATTCAGTATATACTATGAATTATTTAGTATTTGCTATAAATGATTCAGTATCTACTACAAATTATTCAGTATCTACTAAACATTATCAAGTAAGTTCTACTAATTGTTCAGTATTTACAATGAGTTAATTAATAGTTAATTAGTACTATGAATTATTTAGTATCTACTATAAATCATTCAGTATCTAATATTAATTATTCAGTAGCTACTGTAAATTATTCAGTACCTACTATGAACTATTCAGTTATTACTGTAATTTATTATTTAGCATTTGCTATGAAATATTCCATAACTACAATAATTTATTCAGCAATCGCTGTGAATCGTCTACTATGAATCATTCAATATCTGCTATGAATAATTCAGTAACGACTGATGGGTGAGCTGTTTAGGTGTCTGTAGTTGTAGTTGTACCTGCTACAGAAGAGCAGGAGGATCCAACGCCCTGCAGTGATCGAGCCACAAACAGCAGCGCGTAACTCGAGGAGAAGGCAAACACTGAACGATCCACACAGCGCAGACACACACACACACACACACACACAAACAAACACACAAACACACACACACACACACATATGTTCAATATTCAGGATATAAAAACAACATCAGCTTTAACCTTCATTGAAAATTATGTAAATAATGAAATTAAAGGGCCCATATCCCACATTTTCTTATATATTGATTCACTTATAATGTTTGTGTGGTTTTATGTACCAAAAGTCACAATTAAGTTTTACACGACCATTTTCTAACCTCACTTTACCACTTAAAGTTAAAATCTTATTACTGTACCTTTAAGACTGATATATGCAAATGAGATCTGTTTTGATTGGCTGCCCTGTACTGAGTCTCATTCAAAAAGCTGTCAGCAGCTGAAACACTCCTTGTAAATTCAGCATGAATGGGCGGGGATAAACTGCTGTGGACATATGCAAACGCATTGGGTTTTTTGTGACATCACAACTTCAAAACAGACAGTTTAGGACTATATAAACTGGGGCGTGAACGCTTTTGAATCCTGAACAGTTCACATATTCTATCAACCTCTTTTTTTCATGTTATGAGCCCTTTAATATCCTGAAAGTAAAGATTAAATCTCAAGACAAATCAGTTGGCACAAAATCAATATAAATAGAGAAGTACACAACATTATTTATCATTTAACAAGATGATCAATTTGAATTATTGAACAAACATTATGAAAATGATAAGTGATTACAGGTTTTAATGATGGTGTACGGTATGCTGTTCATTTACCTGAATGATATGAACTCAATTTCAAGATTTTTGAATTTCATCAAAGTGGCTAAGCTGATATGACTTGAAGCGTATTATAGTTAAATTCATTAGAGTTTATGACCTAAAGCTTATTAAAAATAGTGGTTTTTTAGATGTCTGAAGTGTAGATGTATATGCTGAATCATAAAAGCAGGTAGAGAAGTGTGAGTCACTCACTGATGGTGGAGAGGAACATGATGCAGAATCCAGCGAACATAGGGGATCTGGTAGCCTATTCTGCAAACACAGGAAAAGATCAACCAACACGTTCATTATTTGGGCTCTGAGTAAACTCAGCAGTGTTGAATGAGCACTAACGCTGTTCCTATAGCCCTGTCCACTCTGCACGGTGTAAAATACACTTAATTTAACACCATCAATCAAAACTGGACATTTCACTGCACAGGAAGTACTGTTTCCTGAAATCCTGACGCTCGGACAGACACAACAGTGGAACCTGAACAGACGGAACGTCTGCAGTGCTGGAGCTGATGTCTGTGCATAACTGCCTGTGCAAAGCTGATCAGTCAGTGTGTAAAGGATTATGCTGGTTATTGTAATTAAACTAATTTATTTCAGATGTTTTAAATTACATTTAGCTAAATAAAAACACTCTAAGCCAGCGATGGTTACCAGCTGTGGATGTTATTACCATTAGCTCTGGGTTACAATTAGCATTAGCTCTGTGTTAGAATTGGCATTAGCTCTGTGTTAAAATTAGCGGTAGATCTGTGTTACAATTAGCATTAGCTCTGTGTTAGAATTAGCATTAGCTTTGTGTTAGAATTGGCATTAGCTCTGTGTAAGAATTAGCATTAGCTTTGTGTTAGCATTAGCGTTAGCTCTGTGTAAGAATTAGCATTAGCTTTGTGTTAGAATTAGCGTTAGCTTTGTGTTAGAATTGGCATTAGCTCTGTGTAAGAATTAGCATTAGCTTTGTGTTACAGTTAGCGTTAGCTTTGTGTTAGAATTGGCATTAGTTCTGTGTTAAAATTAGCATTAGCTTTGTGTTAGAATTGGCATTAGCTCTGTGTTAAAATTAGCATTAGCTTTGTGTTAGAATTGGCATTAGCTCTGTGTTAAAATTAGCATTAGCTTTGTGTTGGAATTAGCGTTAACTCTGTGTTAAAATTAGCGGTAGATCTGTGTTACAATTAGCATTAGCTGCTCTGTGTTAGCTATTTAGCATTAGCTCTGGGTTGCATGCAGGAGGACACATAAGGACAGTACCAGCTCTGCTGAAATCTAAATTTATGATTATTTTTAGCAAATCATCCCCATTAGGTGGTTTCAGCCAAGTTGGAGATGTAATTGTGTATATTTGTGTACATAAAGCAAACAGAGGGTAAAAGTGCTGCCTGCACAGTTTGTTCTGTTTTTTCCAGGTTGCATTCAAATATTTATCTGAGTTGAATAAAACCAGTTAAATTGCTTGTTACCACATCAAGGTATTATATATAACGTTTTAGTATCCAGGAATGTGATACTACACTCGGTATCAGTACAAAAGTAAATATTCTGCCATCATAACTGTACTGAATCTCATTTGTAACATATTAATGCTTATGGAACAAAAAAAAAACTACATGTTATATTACAGGAGATCTCTGACAGGACATCAGGATGTCAACGGCATGCCAGGAAGTGAGAGACTGAAGCGACAGAGTGAAGAACAAGAGGTGAAAAATCAATATAAGCTGAGAATGTGTGGTGAAGAAAACTGCCGCTCAGTAATGTATTCTAGGTTTGTCAAACTCTAGAGGGCGCTCCTGAGTGAGTCCAAAAATGAATGGCTTAATATTGGACATTTTAGCAAAATCATAACTTGTAAATGCTTAAACATTTTTATACAGTAGAATGCATTAATTTCCTGAACACAGAACAGCACATCTGAACTCCAGTTATAGGACTTTATAACGGCACCTAACTGACATTCATGACATCAGTGAGCACAAACTATTTTATTCAGCCAATAAGCTACTTTGCTTGCCCACCAATGAGCACTCAGTGGCAGTAATGCCAACCAATCAGCACTCAGCAGAGGTAATGTTAACCAGTCAGCATTAAGTAGCAATATTGTTAACCAATCAGCACTCAGCAACAGTAATGCTTACTGATCAGCGCTCAATAGCAGTAATGCTAACCAGTAGTGTTAACCAATCAGTGTTTAGCAGAAGTAAAACCAACAAATCAACACTTGGTAGCAGTAATGCTAACCAATCAACACGTAGTAGCAGTAATGCCAAACAATCAGCACTCAGTAGCAGTTATGCTAAGCAATCAGCACTCAGTAGCAGTACTGTCAACCAATCAGCACTCAGTAGCAGTACTGTCAACCAATCAGCACTCAGCAGCAGTAATGTTAGTATCCTACTGGCCAAAACCCGTTTGCTGAAGAAATGACAAATTGTAAAGAAATATACAGGAAGCGTTTCTTTGCTTTTTTAGTGAAATGCATCCATATACTTTCCCAAATTAAAGGAAGTTTCCGGACAAGTGGTTAGAAACTAGTTGTTTAGCTCCATTCATGCCAATTCATTGAGGACTCGTTTGCCAGGGCCTTCTAGCATTGCGCAGTCATGTTTTTGATTTAACAGAAGAAAAGGGAAGTGGCCAGATTCCCCATAAAGCGGCTCACAGCAGCAGTTCGTCAGCTAATCTCAGCTATGAGCGGTCATAAAGGTCAAGGTTCAGTTAGCTGACCTCAGAGTTGGTGCTAGACACCAGAGATGTTCACAAATCGATTCACGAGTTTTAGTTTTGTTAATAGCTTCAGGCTCTGCACTGTACAAATGTAAACCTACCAGAACTCTGTCAGATTCAGCAAGGATTCAAATAACAAGCCTTTTATTATAGGAAAACCTTCAGGCTAAAGGACAGAACTGAAGCACTACACGTAGTAAATGCTGTGAGGCAAAACAAAATGGTGGGCTAGCATAGTTTATATAGGAACTGCGCTAGCTAGCATAAGAGCTAATGCAGTTGAATCCTCAGTAAGTCTAAAGGAATGCAATCTGTAACTTACTAAAACTTCAGACACAATAGCCAGTGTGCTAACTAGCATCCTTGCTCTCCAGACTACCAACTAGCCAACCATCTCAAGCTGTTTTGTCTCTTTACTGTGTACAGCGCTTCAGTTCCGTCCTTCAGAGGGAAAGTTCTTCTATATTAAAAGGCTTGTTATTTGATGCCAAACTGAACCTGACGCTGCTGCGAGCTGGAGGAGAGCGACATTACAGTGACCGCAGCCGAACTGACATACATCGGGTTGGAAACAAGAGAGTTTATTAATTTATTTAATTTATATTTACAATATATATACACACACAATTTATGTGTGTGTGTATATATATTATATGTGCAAAATTTTGGCAAATATAAAATTTTACCACAGTTGCATGTACATTTTTAATCATATATATATTGCACATATATTTTGAGTATGAGCAAATATATGTACAAACATTTTTATTACACGTGGGTTATTACCCTTTTCTCTTCATATTTCATTTTATTATTATAGTATTTTAATACAGGATTGATAATAATAGTAAGTCTAGTGTTCAGGGGGTTCATTACCTGTTGGTGAGGGGTCCTATGAAGGGGTTGGTGATGAGCTGGACGGTGGCTTTCGAAGCAAACAGGAGCCCCACCTTCACGTTCTCATTCAAGAGCTGATCATCTGCTTTGGGACAGTTGGAGGCGTTGGGGGTCGGAGTGGGGGTCGGTGTCAGCGCTGGGGTCACAGTGGGGGTACCGAACAGAGGGCTGAGGTTGGTGAGGCGTGTGGAGTTATCATACAGAGACACGATGGTCTGGAAGGTGCCAGGGGGAGAGTTGGAGGAGACGGAGTGATTCCTCGCTGCAGCGGACGCCTCATCGTCCACTGTGTACAGGTAGCTGGGGATGATGGGCACTGTTAGAGAGAGAGAGAGAGAGAGAGAGAGAAAGAGAGACGCTTTAGATGTGTGAAGCTCTGTTAGAATGCTGGTGTTAACATGATTAGCAGGTTCTAATACCGAGGAAATCTGAGTATCTCCCGGTGTTGGAGCTTATAACCTGTTGATATGAGACATTCAGCTCTGAATTTGCAAGCGTTGGTCCATGGATTATATGACACTTCTCAGATCACAGTGATTATGTGATGTGGGAAGGAGAAATATTGACTAGCTAATTAAATCAGGTAATGTTTTGAGGCTCTAAATACTCTCATGGGTAATATCATGTGGAGGGGTTGGAACAGCAGCTTATTAGAGATCATCTAACCTCGTATTCCTATCTCCATCCATTCAAATCCTATTCAGTCCTATACATGGACACTTCAAATGGTAATTAGGTACAATTCATTCATTTTTCAGTGTCAGAAACGAGCAGAAAACATATATTTACCAGACAATTACACCAAAGGCTCAACAGCTAAATATAATACCAAATATAAGGGAAAATGGAACTCTTAACAACCACCTGGAAGACCTGGTAGACACCAAAACTGTCCCCATCAGATAAACTGCACTTAAAGCTTTCATCTTTGAGAGAGAGGATGAAATCAAGTCTTGCTTGAAATGTCAATATGTCATGCAATGACCACCCCAGAGTCCAGACGTCAACATCACTGGGTCGTGAGAAGCAGAGAGCACAACCAACTTCTAAGACTGAGAAATTACAAACATGATTAAATATGATTAAAACAACAGATTTAAAAGACAAAATCATTCAAGTAAAAATGAAACTAGAAGTTAAAGTAAGATAATTAAAAATCGAATTAAAAATTAAATTGGAATAATAAAGTGCTGTTACAGAAGGGCTTGGAACGCTATCAGTGTTTAAACTGAGCTGAAAGGTGCTCAAACAGGAACGTTTTCAGGCCGGATTTAAAGTGTCCAGTTCTAATGCTGTCAACTGGGTCCATTTAAGAGCAGCAGAGTAGCCAAACGCTGACCAGTTCCTAATTATCTGAGAGTTCTGCTCGGCTCACATCGCTGCAACATGATATTAGTATGCTGTTCCTGTACCACTGAGTGATGTATGAACAAAGAATGGAAGCTGTAATATAAGCAACCACTGCTGTTATATTTCACTAAACACTAAATCCTGTTTCCTGCTTTTTGTTGACTCTGACATGAATCACTTGTACTTAATGGCAAATACAATAGATGAAAAAGTGGTCTCTGACTGCTGCACACTACTGTATGTGTATTAGACTGACCACTGTGTCAGCTCACTTGACCTCTAGGTAAACTGTTGGTGGAAAAGGTGCACATGCCTCTGGAAGCCTGTATATGGAGGATCCCTAAACGACAATGTTACCTAGAAGCACTGGTCCAAAGCCAAGGACTAACCATATTTATGGTTAGACAGAAGGTTCTGAGTGATGTTTGGCTTCCAGCAAACACTTCATTGGTGCACTGAACATTTCTTTAAATGTTCTTTAAAAAAGCCCTTATTAATTCCTTGATATATACTCATGCTCTTATTTTCATACCTACTCTTTTAAAAAAAGATGCTACTTCAATGGATCTTTATTAAAGAGAACGGCTTTATATAGAATTATTTCATGTTTAATTGGTTCTTTGCATGGTAAATGTGCTGTACACTCTTAAAAACATGGTTCTTTAAGGGTTCTTTAGTAAAGAAAATGCAAAATCTTAAAGAACACTTTGCATGATTAAAAGGTTTTTTGCATCATGTAAGGGTTCTTCAGATTGATGGAGAATGTGTTGTAGATGGTTCCACATAGAATCTTTTTGAAAAGGGTTCTACATAACACCCAAATGTGTTTTCTGTTGTAATAAGCTTGACATTGTAACAACAGAACAACCCTTTTGGGTGCTATACAGAACCCTTTTCAAAAAGGTTATTTACAGAACCATCTACAACACATTCTGAGGCACACTTTTACAATGCAAAGAACCCTTTAATCATGCAAAGGGTTCTAAGTGTTCATGGCTCTACATAGAACCATTATCTTTACTAAATAACCATTTGAAAATGGTTCTATATAGCAACTTTTGGTGCTATACAGAAACATACACAATACATTCTCCATCAATCCATTTCACCATGTAAACAACCATTTAGGCATGAAATGCTTCTAAACAGAATCCCTAATCCTAAAATCCTAAACATTCCCTTTACTTAAGGGAACCATTGAAGGACCATCTTTTCTAAGAGAAGACTCTAAGCGTTCATTGGTCCCTAATAATTTGTGTTGATACGTATTTCAACACAAATAAGATGAACACTGTTCATTTGTATGAGCCATTGACCACTTTTCACCTCGGTCTTATCACCTTATCTTCTCAGAATATCTGACAGAAGTGCCAAAGTGTGGACATTCAGAGCTGGTGGACAGTAAATACTGCAAGTTTTCAACATATCAACAGGTTCTGATGCGCAAACACTCCCGACTCTGTTTGATTATCGAGCGATTAGAGAAGGAAGAAACGTAGCAGAGCTAATTAAATTAGCTAACTTTTCTTCTCATTAAATATCAACAACACGAGGATTAAAAATATCAGTGGTTTATTCAACATAATCTCAACCTCTGACAACATATCTGTCCGTTCATACGAGCAACGAAACGTTAAAGTGTTTTAGTCTGGACATTATCGACCACAAACAACTACGCTAAGACTACAAAACCCACAGTCGAGACGCTTCCGGTTAGAGACGGAAACACCTAAACGAGTCGCTCCAGTTTATTTAGTGCAAAAAAAATAAATCCATTTATTTTCTTAAAAAAAAACAAACAAACAAACCGAGTCTTTATTTGAGATTATCCCATCCTGTTTGTAATCCAAGAAGCGACCAAATTATTCTTCTCACTGAGGAACTGAGAAAAGGGGGTGTTATTATTTTTAGTAAGTCGTTCTTTTCTTTTCAGTTTTTATCAAACACTACAATCGTTTTCACTAACTTTATCTGACCTTATCTGTATATATATATATGTATATATATATGTATATATATATATATATATAGTACTTAACATCGTTTTTTCTTCTTTTTAACATACAACTTGTTTTTCTTCTCTTAATATTTTTTTTTACGACTCACAATTGTTTTCCTTTGTTATCTGGGCATCCAACTATAATCACTCTCAATTTCATTACTTTTTTCACTCTTCACTTTAACTGCTGCTTTTTCACTTTTCATCACTGATTGGTTTTCTTTTTATCCAATCTTTTTTTTCAGTTTTAAACCCTCTGGTCATTTTTCTCTTTTTACTAACATCCTCAGCTGTTTTTCTTCTCTCAGTCATTTTTCTGTTGTCTTTTCTCTACCAGCGTTTCCCCCTCTTTACCTCCATCCAAATTGTTTTTCTTTTTCCTTTTTTTTCTTTTGCATTTTCACTATTTGTTTTAACTGGTGTAACCCTTAACCACTTTTCCCCAGACACCAATTCATTTCCTTTGTTTTGTTTTGTTTTTTACCAACACCCATAATTGTTGACGCTAGCTCGCACAATCATTCTCTGAAATGGCTTTAAGGCAGTTTCAAATGTAGCAGATTTAAAGCAGTCTGGAGCCTTAAGGTGAAGAAAACAGGCCGATTATTTCAGTCGTAATGCTTAAAGAACGTCTGAGACCTGTTACATGTTTTGCCTGTTTTTATGACTTAGGTTTAACAATCAGTATTGCATTCACTATAATAAATGTAGGTGTTATATATCTTTTCTATGAAGATAAGTGGGCCTCTGAGCTGAACTGAGGTGCAGATGAATTCATAAACAGATGCAAATCCAAAAGAAGAGGTAAAGAATTACCTAATTCTAGCTAATGTTAGCTGTGTTTCATTATCATTGCCACACCTTTCATTGATGTCGAGCTCTACAACCAGCAAATAATCAGATTTTAAGGCTCAGAAGTGAACAGTGGTGGTCACTGTGATTGGTTTAACACATTACACGCCCCATATAGGCTACACTCTTAAAAAGATGGTTCTTCAAGGGTTCTTTAGTAAAGGCAATGGTTCTATTTAGCACTTATGTGCGTTATACATAGAACTATTTCATACTTAAATGGTTCATTGCATGGTGAATTGATTCCTCAGACTGATGGAGAATGTGCCGTATATAGTTCTGTTGTAGCAATAGCAGAACCTTCTATTGTAACAATAACAGAACCATTTTGGTGCAGTCTGAAGAACCATCTCACCATGCAAAATAACATTTAGCGTTCTTCATTCAAGGGTTCTTTAGTAAAGACAGTGGTTCTATATGGAACAATGAACACTCAGAACCATTTGCATGCTTAAATGACTCTTTGCATGGTGAGATGGTTCTTCAGATTGATGGGGAATGTGTTGTATACGGTTCTGTTCAGAACCTTTTTGAAATTGGTTCTACAGGCTTCAGACCAGATTGATGGAGAATGTGTTGTGTATTTGAAAATAGTTCTGATTAGCACCAAAAAAGGTTTTGCTATTGTAACAATGTCAAACTTGTAGCAATAAAAGAACCCTTTTTGGTGCTATACAGAACCATTTTCAAATACACAACACATTCTGCATCAATCTGGTCTGAAGTCTGAAGAACCAATTCACCATGCAAAAAATAATTTATGCATGTAAAATGTTCTATATAGAACTCATGGTTCTAAGTAGGACCATTCTCTTTAATACAGAACCCTTGAACAACTGTCTTTCTTAGGATTGTAGGTATGAAGGTATATAGTGCTGTATAGAACTATTTTCAAAAAGTTTGTATATAGAACCATATATACCACATTCTCAATCAAGCTGAAGAACCATTTCACCAGGCAAGTGGTTCTATATAGAACTCATAGAGCTAAAGAGAACATTTGCCTTTACTAAAGAACCCTTGAAGAGCCATCATTTTTTAAGTGTGTAGAACCAGTTTGTGCTTAAGTAAACCATTGCAAGGTGAGTAGGTTCTTTAGATTGATGAAGAAATTGTTGTATATGGTTCTGCATAGAACCTTTTTGAAAATGGTTCTATATAGCACCAAAAAGGGTTCTGCTATTGTTTTGATGTCAATCTTTTAACAATAGAAGAAGCCTTTTATAGTGCTACATAGAACCATTTTCAAAAAGGCTGCATATATAACACATTGCCCATCAATCTGAAGAACCATTTCACCATGCAACGAACCATTTTAAGCATGCAAATGGTTCTTTGAGTATTCACGGTTCTATATAGAACCATTGTCTTTACTAAAGAACCCTTGAAGAACCATCATTTGTGTAGAATCATTTGCATGCTTAAATGTTCTTTGCATGGTGAAATCATTCTTCAGATTGATGGAGAATGTGTTATAAATGGTTCTATATATCACCAAAAAGGTTCTGGTATGGTTATGTTGTCAAGCTTTTAACAATTAAAGAACCCTTTTATAGTGCTATATAGAACCATTTTCAAAAACATTCTGTACAGAACCATATACAACACATTCTCAATTGATCTGAGGAACCATATAAGCATGCAAATGGTTCTATATAGAACTCATGGTTCTAAATAGAACCTTTTACTAAAGTACCCCTGAAGAACCATCTTTTTTAAAAGTGTAGGCTGGACGTAAGTATCAGAGGTCCAGCAAAAATCAGAGACCAAGACCCCTATTGTTACGATGTTAAGCTTTTAACGATAAAAGAACCCTTTTATAGTGCTATATAGAACCATTTTCAAAAAGGTTATATGTAGAACCATATACAACACATTGTGCATTGGTCTGAAGAACCATATAAGCATGCAAATGATTCTATATAGAACTCATAGTGCTAAATAGAACCTTTTACTAAAGCACCCCTGAAGAACCACTTCCTGCTAAAGTGAATCATTACATGGTGAAAAGGTTCTTTAGAACATTTTTGAAAATGGTTCTACCTAGCATCAAAAAAGGTTCTGCTATTGTTATGATGTCAAGCTTGTAACAATAAAAGAACCCTTTTTGGTGCTATGTAGAACCATATACAACACACTGTCCATCGGTCTAAAGAACCATATAAGCATGCAAATGGTTCTATACAGAACCCATGGTTCTAAATAGAACCTTTTACTAAACAACCTTTGAAGAACCATCTTTTTTAAGTGAGTGGAAATGCTGGAAATAAGTATCAGGGGTCCAGCAGAAATCGGAGCCTGAGACCCCTGAGCAGCACCAGTTGATCAGTGACGGACTGACGCACCGCTGAGAACATCTGACGGGGGGATCAGAGCTTCTGAGGGAGAAAAGCCCACCACTCACCCACCACCGTCAGCAGCATGTTGTCCAGCAGGAGGGCGATGAAGACGATGAGCAGGATGAGTCTGCGGGACTGCCGACCCTCTCTCAGCCACGCCAGCACACCCACATCTCGGAAGGCGTCAAATAATCCCATCTTCAGCGCGAGAGACACAGCTGCGCGAGCGGAGAGCCTGGCGCACGGACACAGCGGCGGGCACGGCCAGTCTGGAGACGCTTCACCAAGCCATGGCCATCCAGCGCGCGCACAGGCTTGGGTGGGTGTGGAGACAAAGTAAGCGGGACCCCAAAGCTGTCTAAGAACTGTCTGGATGATGAGGAGACCCTTTCCTCCAGACCCCTCACATTCGGCGAGTCAGACCCACAGATGGCTTGCAGTCTGACCTCAAATGGACATTTATAGCGAGGGCTGGGTTTGCACTTACCTGCCCGCTGCCTGACGTCACGCAACAGGCCACGCCTCCCCGTTTATGCAAATCGTGTTCAAATAAATAGACCAATAAACCCACATATTGTCCCGAGGGGCTGCTTTTGTTTTGGGTTTGCATTTGTTTGTCAATCGTGTTACGTCATCTTATAATAACAGCCACTATAAATAGTTCTAATCAGCTAAACAACTTGTTGAAGTGATATTACGTGAAGTCCATTAAAAGGTGACCAGTGACCAGAAAAAGTGATGAATCATTTATCTGGCGTTCAGAACTGGTTCATAATAAACACCCAAAGCAAATAAAATGAAACAGTAAAACAAGCTGTAATATCTTTGGGAACGCGCTTCAACAGGTGCGCTCCTCCTGCGCAGTGCGCACACCTTTGCAATGGCGGCATCTAGCGTCCAGCATCCATATCCGCAGCAGCCAAGAGCAATATAGTCACCACACTGCAAAGGAATGAGAGGGATGTAAACAGAGACATTCAGAGTAGTTTGGTGCTTCATTCTACACACTTAAGATGTTTCTTCAAGGGTTCTTTAGTAAAGACAATGGTTCTGTGTGGAACCATGAACACTCACCGAACCCTTTGCATGATTGAAGTGTTCTTTGCATTGTTAAATGTTCTTTAGATTGATGAAGAATGTGTTGTATATGGTACCTGATGATGATGATACCTTTTTAAAAAGGGTCCTTTATAACACCAGGGGTCTTCTATTGTTACAGGCTTGACATCATAACAATGGAAGAACCCCTTTTGATGCTATATATGTAGAATCCTTTTCAAAAAGATTTGAACCAACTATAGCACATCCTCCATCAATCTAAATAATAATTTAACGATGCAGTCATGCATAGGGTTCTGTGAGTATTCATGGTTCTATATAGAACTATTTTCTTTACTGAAGAACCCTTGAAGAACCATTGTTTTTAAAGGCGTAGAGAACTTCACAGAGTCAGAATTGTTCACAGTGGTGGTGATGGGAACCAGACGTCCGAAGAGTTTAAGACAGTTTTAGAGATAAGCTTGTGGCCTAAAATGCACCAGTGTAGCTAGAACCTTTACAGTGGTTAGACCCCTATGATTTTACTGGGGTGGCAAAGAAAACAATCATCTCCTGTGCATAAAGTAGGGCTATGTCATTAAAAATACTTTTAACCTCTTAAAATCTCAGTCTTATTACATACTAAAGCTTATTATTCAGTAGCTACAGGGACTTTAATGCAAACTGGCTGAGCTATTCTTACTCATAGGGAAAAAAATGTATTCCAAATGTACTAGTTATATATATTTTTGCAGTGTATAAAAATGGCCAAAAATGTATTTGTTAAATATATTTTTAAAATGCATTTATTTATATTTGTTATTATATTTGTTCAGTTGTGTGTTGCTCCGAGCCGCTCCCAGGCCAACTTGGACATATAATCCCTCAAATAATAATATATAAAACCCCCCAAGTGGGTCCTAGGACGACCTCGGGGCCTCATCCCAGTAGGTCGTGCCTGGTAAACCCCCAATGGGAGTCGGCCAGGGGGCATCCTGGTTGGATGCCTGAACCACCTCAACTGGCTCCTCTCAGTGTGGAGGAGTAGTGGCTCTACTTTGAGCTCCTTCTGGATGACCAGGCTTCTCACCCTATCAAGTAGAGTGCAGCCCACCACCCTGCGAAGAAAGCTCATTTCCACCGCTTGTATCCGCAACCTTATTCTTTCGGTCATTACTCAAAGGTGAGAGTCGGGATGTAGAAAAACTGGTAAACAGAGAGCTTTGCCTTATGGCTCAGCTCACTCTTCTCCACTACAGTCCAGTACAGCAACAGCATTACTGCTGCCGCCTGTCCCAGCCTGTGGCTGATCTCACGATCCCTCTTCCCATCACTCGTGAACAAGACCCCAAGATACTCCACCCTTCCTGGATTGGGGCCTTGATGCGGCGGAAGGGCTTGTGTGGTCTAGGGATTTTCAGAGCTAAGTCGCCTGGAGTAGTATGATCCTGGTAGGTTCTCCGAAGGTGAACAGGTTTGGAGTGAAGACCTAGACTAACTCGATCCAAAATACTCCATGACTAAGGGACACAAGAGACCATGTACCCGGGAGAGGGTTACCAGGACCCACCCCTGGAGCCAGGCCTGGGGGTAGTGTTCCTCAGGGAGCGCCTGGTGGCTGGACAGCCCATGTAACCGAGACCGTGCTTAGCCCAAAAAGGTAATGTGGGGAGACCATGTGGGCCCACCCGCAAGGTCAAGCATTGGGGACTGGTGCAGTGCCATATAGGTGGTGGGAGACAGCAGGGAGGTCTTTGGCAGCATGGACCCCTGCAACGGAGACTTGCTCTTGTGTTTTAATATATGTTTGGTTAACATGGCAATATTTTCTGAAATACCTTGTAGTGTTTAATGTATTTCAGCATGGACTGCAATGTATGTGAAATATAGATCTAAAGGTGGTCTATAATTGAGCCAATTCCCATTAGAAAGCAAAACCATCAAATGGTTTAACAGTCTTCTTCCCAGCAGGCCTATGACCACCACCATAAAGAACACACATTTGCAGCTATTTGCAGCAAGTTATGATTTAGCATAACTAGCAAGTAATGTAAACTAGCAAGGTAGCTGGTGTTGTGTATTGTTAGCATCTGAACAGCTGCCTGCCTACAGCTAATAAAAGACAGACTGCTTTGGTGTGTCCCAGTGTGTGTTTTGCTTTAGCGCCCCTTTGGAGTCTCATGGCATGCAAAAGATTGACCACGTCTGCAGCTGCTGTCTGCTCTGCAACTGTTCTCCATTCACCCCATTCATAAGTTCTTTGTCACCTTCTAGTTAAAGCGGCTAAAAGACTTACATGTTGGCCAGCATTGTACTGAGTCATGGAGGGGGAGAGGGAAGACCACCCTTCCCCCCCCACAGAGAGGGACAGGTCAAATATGCTGTATTGGACACTTATCTTATCCAGAGCGACTTATCATTTGATCCTATTACACAGTGGCAGTGTAGTCTTAGGAGTCTTGCCCAAGGACTCTTATCGGTATAGTGTTGGGTGCTGGCCTAGACGGGGAATTGAACCCAGTTTACAGCATAGAAGTTACCCACTACGCTATACTAACCACTGTTAGGGTCCACAGTTACACAGGTGCAGACACTAGGTATAGACACTAGAACTGGGCAGTTTGACAATATTTATTGTTATCATAAAATTAAAATAAATGGTTCTTTGCATGGTAATATGGTTCTTCAGATTGATGGAGAATGTGTTGTATATGGTTCTACAAAAAACATTTTTGAAAAGGGTTCTATATAGCACCAAAAAGGGTTCTGCTATTGTTATAACGTCAAGCTTGTAGCAATAGAAGAATATAAAACCATATACAACATTCTCCATCAATCGGAAGAAAAAGATGAAAAAAAGATGGTTCTTCAGGGGTTCTTTAGTAAAAGTTCCTATTTAGTGCCATGGGTTCTATATAGAACCATTTTCATGGTTATATCATTCTTCAGATTGATGGAGAATGTGTTGTATATGGTTCTATACAGAATCTTTTTGAAGACAGTTCTATGTAGCACTATAAAGGGTTCTTTTATTGTTACAAGCCTGACATCAGAACAATAGCAGAACCCTTTTTGGTGCTATATTGAACCATATACAACACATTCTCTATCAATCTGAATAATGATTTCACCTTGCAAAAAAACATTTAAGCATGCAAATGGTTCTGTTAGTATTCATGATTCTATATAGAACCGTTGTCTTTACTAAAGAACCTTGAAGAGCTGTCTTTTTTAATACATGCTTAAACAGTTCTTTGCATGGTGAAATGGTTCTTCAGACTGATAGAGAATGTATTGTATATAGTTCTATATAGCACCAAAAGCATGAAATGGTTATATATAGAACTCATGGTTCTAAATAGAACCATTACCTTTACTAAATAACCCTTGAAGAACGATCTTTTTACATGTGTAGACTTAAGGAACCAAAACTGGCATTACAGTTGTGTCCAGACTAGGCTTAATCCATGTCCAGGGATCCAACCCACTGTGTTAGATCTTTAGAACAGGCCTAGTTCATAAGTTCATAATCTGAGGCTTCTTTTGGGAACCAAAAAGTACATGTTCTTTAATGCAAATGCAACGACAGGAGAACAATCTGTAATTGCATGTCGTCCATTTTCAGGTTTACCACATTGGTTGAGGTAAGTCAGTCTTTTGCAGAAAACAAAAGTCCACTGAAGGAGATGATATTATTGATTATTAATGATATTATTTTGGTAATTCATGCACATTATAGGCTACGTATGCTCACTGTCCATCATAAATGTGTGTATTTGATGTCATTTGGTTTCTGTCTCATGAAACACTTCCCATAAACCCTCTGGGATCTAAAAGCATTCTCTCAATTCGTTCATATCTTCTTGAATTCTTCTTTAAAGGCTCTTCATATATTATTATCCTCATATGTTTCATATCAAAATGCTCCGTTATCTTCATCACTACTTTCCAAAACTGCTGCAGCAAGTTCAGCAGCTGGAAACCCTCTGCACGCCATTTCACATGAGTCTCCAAAGTGGACTGAAAGAAGAATTAAGGGTGATGGGTCAGTCCTTAGTGATTTCCTGAATGTCCATTGGTCAGTTTCACACAGAATGTAGACAGACACATGAATCCACCAGTTCCACACGGTGAGAGGCAGATGGCGTGTATCTCAGCCCCTCTTCACAGGCTCATAACTTCGGATGTGAGTCACGTACGTTCTTATGATTAGATGGAATGGAAAGGGCGACTCTACAGATTCAGGAAATGTTTGAACTGTATTTCTGTGCTGGATTATCACACAGATACAGACACAGATGTAGAAACAGAATTTGGTGCGGAGGCAAGTTTGTGAACCAGAGGGTGTTAACAAAAACCCCATTTAAAAGATTTAAAAGTCACTAATACATTTAAACACAATGTCCTCTGAGTTCTTTAGCTGGTTTAGCTTTCTAAGACCAATGGGAGGCAGTGGGAAAGGTTTGAGTTCTTGGCCCAGTACTCATTATGTACATCCCAGAACTCTGCATACTAAACTACATTCATACTATCCAACAATCTGGTACATCCAACACAAGTAAACATCTGAGAAATGTCAAAAGCCTTCATAGGCCAGTTAACTGGACTCATGCATAATGGACTAAACTGCCATGCCAAAGTTGTTTCACCATTAAACCCATGGCATCAAAGCTTAGGCTTAATCTGGGTCTGGGAAACTGGCCAAATAAATACTACACACTGAACTACACACTTAAAAAAGATGGTTCTTTAAGGCTTCTTTAGAAAAGACAATAATTCTATTTAGAACCATGAGTTATACATAGAACCATCTCATGCTTAAATGGTTCTTTGCATTGTGAAATGGTTCTTCAGATTAATGGAGAATGTGTTGTATATGGTTCTCCACAGCACCAAAAGGGTTCTGCTATTGTTATAATGTCAAGCTTGTAACAATAAAAGAACCCTTTTTGGTGCTATATAGAACCCTGTTCAACAATTTCAATGCCAAAGGTGTTTCATCATTAAACCCATGGCATTCCAGGTGTTGTATATGGTTCTCTATAGCACCAATAAGGGTTCTGCTGTTGTTACGATGTCAAGCTTGTATGCAATACGAAAAAAAAACCTTTTTGATGCAATATAGAACCATTTTAAAAAGGGTTCTATATAGAACCATATACAAAACATTGTCCATCGGTCTGGAGAACCTTTTAAGCATGCAAATGGTTCTATGTAGAACTCATGGTGCTAAATAGAACCTCTTACTAAAGAAACCTTGAAGAACCATCTTTTTTCAAGAGTGTAGAACCAGTTTTAAATGAACCATTGGATGGTGAAAAGGTTCTTCAGACTGTATATGGTTCTGCACGGGACCTTTTTGAAAATGGTTCTACATAGCATCAAAAAGGTTGCCATTGTTATGATGTTAAGCTTGTAACAATAAAAGAACACTTTAGTGCTATATAGAAACACTGTCAAAAAGGTTCTATATAGAACCATAAAGAACACATTGTCCATGTGCCTGAAGAACCTTTTAAGCATGCAAAATTCTTTTGAGTGAAGGACGTACCATAATACAAAGATTATGCAGTTGATGAGCTCTGAACTGAAATCGTACGATTTAAAATCTGTTGCACAAACCAAATGCGTGAAAAATTACAAGTGGTTAAAGTTTGAGCAAAGAGTTTATTTCAGCTTTTCCTACAACTTCGTTTTGTACGAAATTCAATAAATTCATCCTCCCTTATAATCCTCTATAAGGTTCTTTACATTAATTCTGTTGTAAACACACCCTTGATTAGGGTTAATTACCTTCGCTTAAGACTCAGACAAGGAAAGAACAAGAGAAAAAGGACTTACTTTCTTCTCTAACATCTTCCTGTACATCCATGCTATAGTGCATCAGCCTGGTTCAGAAACAGCTGCATCTGTTCATAATGAAAACTGGATCATATTGAAACAGTAATCGAGCCTGCATAAGCAGATATATAATGACAGCCAGGCTGTTTCAGAATGGACTCGTTTCCCGAACATTTTGTGTCAGTGACACTTAAGCCCTCAAACTCTAAGACTGGCTTTACACGGCTTTAAACTTTCACGCAACTTTAGTTGCTTGAAACCTAGTTGAAAAAAAAATTTATTTTTTTTTGAGTTGCACAATGTGTGCTACAAATTTTGAGTTGCATACAACTCATTTGTTGAGTGCTACAACTCATTTAAAACTCTGTTGCAACAGTTGCAAGCAACTCAACTTTGTGAAACAAGTTTCATGAAACAGCAAATCAAAAGACCAGTAATACTCTCTTGAAACCCCCTAATTTTGCACAGGGCTCAGATTCATTTAGATGAAAATTATAACAGAAGAGGACACTGGCATGAGCCCCACGATGAACGTGTTGTGCCTCTAGGACAGAGTGAGAAAGACATCACATGGGAAATAATCATAACGGCTACTTACTCATTCATTTTCAAAGGCTACATACATGTAACTAATAAAAAACTCAAATATATAGTAAAATATCGCCTATGACTATATCAAAAACCATATGGTCTACTAAAATATAAGAGCTGCTAATTTGGTTAACTAGTGGAGTAACTGAATGTGTTGCATGCAACTTTGTTTTCAAACTGCTTCATGTGAACGCCAAGTTGCAGGGAAATGACGTTGCAGGCAACTCACAACATGCAACTTGACCTTTACATGAAGCATTCCCTGCAACTTTGTTGTTTTTTTAATTGCTCTGTGTAAATAACAAAATGATGTTGCAGAAAACACGCACCATGCAACTAGTTGCATGAAAGTTTCATCGTGTAAAGCCAGTCTAAGGGTCTGTATGTGGGTCCACAGTTCAGTTCCTCACTTTTCATAACTGCAGAACTTCAGCACATTCGTTTCATAGCAGATACTGAATAATAAGCCTTAACCCTTTGATGCCCATATCTGGACTTTTTAACTGTCTTTGGTCAGTTTGTTCTCTGAGCACAAACAGGAAGAAACTTCATACTAATAAAACCATGTGGCTAAAAAGTGAGGCTCAATTTACTACATTGTTTGCAGTCTTTTGGTCAGACAACTACATGTAATAAAAAATCCTCTCAGATGTTCAGATAATGTTCTAGTAACTATTCATTTAATCTCTTTAGAATATCAGAGAACGTTTTTCCTCATTGTACTACATATAATTACATGAAATGGTTAAGGTTATAACTGAACAACAAGCCTAAAATTAAAGTTGTTAACAGGGTTTTCACTGATTTAAAAAAAAACCCTGCATAAATAAATGGTTAAGATGTAAACAAAGTCGTTCAGGGTGGTTTGGTGTGAAATGGTTCACTGTAGAGAAACTTAAGAGTCAGAAATGTTCACAGTGGTGGTGATAGGAACCAGACATGATAGGAACCAGACATGATAGGAACCAGATACGCTGCCTGATGTGTAAGACATTTTTTTATGATCGTTTTGAGAAGATTTTGGTCTAAAACTTATTGTCTTAAAATCTATTCATGGTGGAAATTTTCATGTAAGGTGCTGTGAGGCAAAATAGTTCCAACAGAAAACTTATTTTCTCAGTTTAGCCACTATTTTACCATCATTAATGCTACATATAAAAACTCAGACGACACGTGTAGGTTCAGTGGTGGTTTAGCATAGTAAATAAAATGTCTATTTTTGTGCTGTAGTCATGGCGACCCCTGGTTCCTATCACCATGACTGTAAAGACAACTGAACCATTTCACGCCAAACCACTCTAAATCACTCTGTTTAAACCTTTAGCACTGAATTATGCAGATGTTTTGGCAGAATTCCTGTTAAATTGTTTACAAGTTGTAACATGCTGATGCATTAAGAAACATAACTTTCACTATGACTCAATATAATACTGCTCAATGTACTGCATAATGCTGAATTCTTTAAGACATAAATAGGTGTAGTTACAAGGCAGTCACACATTCACATTGCAAAACTCGAAGCAATAGTGAGCCTCTTTACATGCAGCCGTTTCATGCATTTCGCCAACCTCATAAGATTAATTCACATTTTGTTTACATTGGGCAGCATAAATGTCCCAGATAGCAAGAGGATAGCAGGCCACCGTTGGCAGCTGGAGGCCCACTGGCTTTTTTGGTCAGCATTTTCCAGGTAGCCCACTGGTGGTAAAGCAGGGTACTAGACAAAATGACACTTTTCATCACCCATTTTCCACACACAGTCCAACTGACTTATTTTTCCTCCATTTCTTTTTGTAAATTGGTTAATAATTTTAATAGTAAAGTCATAATTAATAAATAAATAAAGCTGGTTATGCAGCTGTAACCAATCTAGCACAGTGTCAGCAACAACTCTTTCAACAAAATCATTTTATATTAGACCTATTTTATATTTTCTCTCAGTATTTTGTAAATTTGTCTCAGTTTATTTTTCAAAATAAAAGTATAGTGCTTTTAAAATCTGGTTGAGATTAAAAACTAGTTAGATATTATATGCAGGACAATAATCTAGGTGGACCAGCAGTGGCATACAGTTAGCGGGTTACTGACCTTATCAAGCCAGAGGACCGATACATGCTTGCTATCTGTCTTGGATAAAATCTGATTAGCATTTGTGCAGGTTTTTTCTGCACCATATGAAAATAATGCTGGGGGGCACACAAAAATTGGTTGCTCTGTACATATGTGCGTTTTAGATGTGTGGTCAGTGATTAATATCAATAGGAAAAAAGAGACGTGCAGAGGGCTTTCACTGACCAGCTGACTAGCTAGCTAGCTTCTGAACACGGCACAGGGTTATTACCATTAACGCCAACTATTAGTAAAATGAAAGCGGTGAAAAATGTGCCTGCTGTGATAAATATAAAAAAGGTAAAACTAAAGAAAACTATAAAGAAAATTAATCAAGTTTACAGAGAATGTTAGTTTTCATGTTTTCAGTGCATGTCTTTGAGTAACCTAGCTGAGCATAGTTGTGCTGTTAGCACTGTTGTGCTAATGTAGCACTGCTCAACAGAAATTGCTAAATATCCACCATAATACATGTTTGGTGTCCAAAATTTCCTTTTTCCTTGCTAGAAAAAACAGCACATGTTGGGTAACCAGCTACACCAGCACCAGACCAGCATAAACCAGCATAAACAGCTTATACCAGCCAATGATTCATGCTAGTCCATGCTAGGTTTACTTTAGAACTGGAGCTGCTAGGCTAACAGTGCTAACAAACACAGGGCGTCAGAAGTCACTCTGACTGTTTCCACAAATACCTGCCAAATTCTACATATATTTTCTTCAAATTATGTCAATAAGCACATAAACCCATAAAAAAAACAAGAATTTAGTAAACTGGCAAAGATGTGGGTGAGCTAAAACAATAGTTCCCGAACTGGTCCTCAGGTCCCCCATTTTTCCTTCAACTCTATGCAACTGTTTTTAGTCAAAATTCTCCCCCTCATGCAACAGCATTCTCTAGGTAGAATGTGGAACTGCCTCAGAACTAACCTTCTCTTTTTCCCATGTCAAACAAAGAGTAAAAGTCCTTTGAACTTGATCACATCTACAACTTTCACAGGATCTCAACAAAGCTGATTCCCTTAAAGAACTCCTGAAATGTTCACTGAGCTAATTGAACCCAAGTCTAAAGCTAATTAGCTTGTTACACAATGAATTACAGTACTGTGCAAAAGTCTAAGATCAACTACATACAGCATCAAATTTTTCCATATTTATTGTGTCCATTCCAGCTTCCATTCTTTTCAGGAGACTCACTTTCAGCTCCTCAAAGAAATCTGCAGACACACATCCAAAGTTCAGTCTTAGAAGTTGGTTGATCCTTTTCTGAAGTAATCAAGCACATTCAGTAATGATGAGGTCTGGACCTATGTTTGATGTGTCTCCTTTTCTCAGTGAGGTTCTTCTTGACAGCTACACATCCTTTCAGACCCATACTGCTGAGTTGTCTTCTCACAGTGGAAGGATGGACAGGAACTCCTGTGGATGTTTTCAGATCTGAAGCAGCTTGATTTTCTCCTCTCTCTCAAAGATGAAAGCTTTAAGTGCTGTTTATCTGATGGGGGCAGTTTTGGTGTCTACCAGGTCTTCCAGATGGTTGTTAGGAGTCTTATTGTCTCTGTATCATTTTTTGAACTCACTTCATTTGTTTTTGGCTTTCTCCTTTCTTTATGCAAGTGCACCATCTTATTTCTAATTTCTTCAGAAACATCTCTTAAACAGTGAGTAACTTGTACTTAATGACTGAATGAAGGGTGGTCTCTGACTTTTGCCAAGTAATGTACACTTACATTCAATTTACCTTCTGTATGGACAGGTCTAAGTCTGCACTTCTGAACTTTTTTCAGTGGAAAAAATGGCAAAAATATGGCAAGGGTTAAATGTCCTAGACATGCTAACGTAAAGGAATGTCCCATATTTCTTCCCATGAATCCTTCAAGCTGGTCACTCCCCCTGTACATCATAGTTACCCACTTTCCCCACACCGATGCAGCTAAAGCAGCGAATAAAGCGGTGGTAGCAGCTAACGATGCGTGACTGACCCAGCTTAAAGGCCATGCTCATGATGGCCATGCCCATGATGATGAAGAGGAAGGTGAGCATGAAGAACTTGGGATGATTGGGAACAATGTCGCCGAAGCCGATGGTGGTGAGAGTGATGAAGCAGAAGTAAAAGGCATCAAATGTAGAAAACTCCCTTTCCCACAGTGGCAGTATTAGGGCACAGCTCAGGATGTAGGCAAAGACCACCAAGAGAATCACCAGGAAGGGAACTTTGAAGCGGTCCATTTCTTGGCCAATGGATGTGAAGTCCCAAATCTTGAAGTCTTCAGGCGGAGGGGGTCATTTGGTTAAGTTCGGGGCAGGAGCATGAGCGTGCCAACGGCCAGTTGCATACAAACTTTTCTCTGGCAATGATGCGGTCAAAGATCTCCACGTTGTCGAGGACCTGCTTAGCCTTTTGCTTGATGGACAAGTGGATGGCTGTCGGCCGGTCGCCCGGCGCCTCCTGCGACACCACATCCCGGCTGAAGATGTAGGTGCCGTCACGGATGGTGGCGAACTCTCGAGGCTTCTTGCGGGGGCTCCAGACATGCAAGAGCAGGCGCTTGCAGCGGGAGTGGAGGCTCTTGTAGCTGTTGAAGAAGAGCTTAGCCAGAATGTCACCAACGTCCGAAATGACCAGCAGCATGAGCGGGATGCCCACCATGGCATAGAGGATGCACGCCACCTTGCCGGTCAGAGTCACTGGGTAGATCTCTCCATAACCTGAGAGAGAGAAAGAGAGAGAGACAGAAGAGACAAAGAGAGAGAGGAGACAGACCAAGAGAGAAGGAAAGAGAGAGACAGACCGGGAGAGAGGGTGAAGACAGAAAGAGAGAAAGAGAGAGAGAGAGAGAGAGATAGAGAAAGAGAAGACAGAGCGAGAGAGAGAGACAGAAGAGAGAGAGAGGGACAGACAGTCAGAAAGAAGTGAGAGAGACAGAGAGGAAAGGAGGGGGGAGACAGAAGAGAGAAAGAGAGCTCAGATAGGTGTGATGGTCACGTGTCCACATACCATATAGTGAGCTGAACAGTGATAAACATGTTTAATTCTAAAGGATAAAGACAGATTGGAAAATGGTCGCGTAAAAAGTGCATGATGTGATTATAAAACATGTAGGACACGGGCCCTTTAATGCAACACTGGTGTAAATGATGCCACCTGCTGGCCGCTGTTAAAAGTGCACTGCTGCAGTCCCAATGGGACACATATGATTTCACATATTCTGAGCATGCAGCATGCTCTGTTACCCAACAGAGTTAAAGGAACCTCACTCTGTTTGTTCTGAGTGTGTGTGTGTGTGTGCGTGTGTGCGCTAAGTGCCCCTGTTGGGTGCCACCTGTGGCTTTATCTATGTTTACAAATCCTTCAGCTGATCTTGAGCTAACGATTGGCTGAATTCATGAATGTTTCTTTAGAAATAAAATATAGTTAAAAATTTCCTTTTTGTGAACAGAATTAAAGATCCTTTTTCATGAATCCAATTCCCATTCTTTTTCCAAACAAAGGTTTACAAATAAAAGTTTTTAAAGACATACCACTCGTTGTCCTGTCCTTACAGTCCATACAAGAAAACTAAGCTGGTCATTTATAAATTAATTATCATTTTCAGTACACAAAACCACACAAATATTATAGGTGGGAAATAAAATGCAAGAAGCAGGATATAGGTCTTATAAAAGTACTGCGATTCTGCAAAAAATACAGATAATACAAATGGTCAAAAGTAAATTCCACAGCTAAAAACAGCAGCAGTCAGGAGTTTTTTAATACTTTAGTTCATGTTTGTAGATAACAGTGAGTCATACAGTGTCAGAAACTACATAATCAAGTCTATCAGAGATACTGAACATCTCCAGTTTGGTGAATGTGTGAAGATTTAGGCCTGCAGTTAGCACCGTGCTAATGTGAGCCATATAAGCCATTATTTGTTAGCTACATTGGCCTCGCAGCTTCAATGCAAAGCTAATAAAGAAAAATTCCGACTGAACGCTGAAAACATTTGAGGTGCAGGGAGGACTTTTTTTGTTGAACAATCTACACATTTTTTGTCTACACCGGGGTCAGCAACATGTGGCTCTGTAGCGCACTTTTACTGCCCTGTTGAGGCTCCACAGCAGAATTAGATTTGTAGGTAAAATAAAATAATCCCCCTTTGCAGTAAAGTAAAGCTCTGCTGATCGTTCAACACAGTTTAACAATAAATGTTCTTAAACACTGGAGTTAATGTAGAACTGCTAATTCACCCTTTTACCCTGAGGGATGGTGTGCAGACTGCTGGTCACCATAGCAACACAGACAACAGTCTTACCTAGCTAGTAGCTAACAAAATGGCAAAGAGAGAGAGATTTAAGACGAACATCGATAATTTGTAAACGAATGGACTTAAATGGTGCAGTAGGTACATTCTGGCACCTCGTGCACCATTTAAGGTGGAACAGAAAAAATCAAACAAGAAGCTGGCAGATGAGAAGCTGACTTCAGTCTCGTAAAAAAACGAACGTTGAGAGACATTTTACAAGAAATTTTTGAGGAAAAGTTTCCTGCCAGAGATGCGAGAAAAGTGGCTATAGCTGAGCTAAAGCTTAAAGCAGAGCAAAGTAAGTCTGTGTTTTTGTTTATATTTTTTAGCCTATACTAGCACATCAGCACATACTGAGACATATTTACAGCCAAGATGGTAAAATGGACATAAAATGTTGTGACTCCCAAGGTGGTTTGATTTTTGTTGAAAGGACAAAATGGCTCTTCTTAATGTTTGGCTTGCCGACCTCTGGTCTACACCAGTAGGTAGTGAATGAAAAGAGAAGTGCTGCTAGCTTTTAGCTGAGCTTTCCTCATCCTTCTGTGGTGTGCAAACAAAGCTGTTATCAGCTCTTAGCCATAGCGTTCACTGAGAGTGCTACAGGATCAGATAACAGATCTAAACAGACTGGAGGAAACGATGTATAGATCTGCTCCCTCAGGATGCTGATGAAAGCATTGGCAGCTCTAAAGCAAGTCCACAACAACTTTAACTGTGAGTCACTGTAAGTAGAGTGTATTACAGAATGTTAGTTGGTCGTAGCGATGGGCGCGGCTATTTCTATATACTGAGGTAGGTATTCGAGCAATCTTTTGCCTGGAGATTTATGCACCTTATTGCTGCGCCCCATGATGCTTTGAGTGGCTTATGGACAGAACTTCCTGTAAATAACCTTTATTTTTGGCATCAGGGCTGAATCATTTGGAAAAAATATCTAACTGCGATTTTTTTCTGACTAATATTGTGACTGTGATTATTTTCTATAAATTAATATTTATAGAAATTAAGACCAGAATATCCCCTTTTTCTGGCTTGAGGGTTGAACGCTGAAGGCAGTGTGCCGGACTGCCAGTAAGTTGTGGTTGTGATGTCACAACACATGGAGGTTTGGTTGCCTCTGATTGGTCTAATGCATCTATCAGCAGTTCACAAGCTCGGTGTTCTTAGCTTAAAACCACAGATTTTTGATAATGTAGGCTATAACAAAAAAAAACACTGCAGCTCTTACAATTTGGAAATTGTACTCTCTTAAATGGTGATTTGAATATAAAAATGATAGCGTAATTGGGATGCTTAAATGTTTAGTACAGATATCTGTGATCGATCTGTCCTGAAGCCTGAAACTGTGTGAGAGAAACACTTTCCTCTGGGGGAAATTGTTTCTTTTTACCTTACTTTTATTTCAACTTTTCAATTTGTTCACACTTTTAAGTACAGGTGTAAAACCACAGAGCAATGGCATTACACAGCATGTCTAATGTAAAAAAAACTCTCTTTTTCTTTAAAACCAGTGCTAAAATAATGCTCCTTGTATGGTATGTTAGCGCCAAGCTACCAGGGTTAGCTTGTTTGTCTTGGATTATTGGAATGCTAGCATGTTAGCCGGTTAGCTCTCTGCTAACTTGCTCAGACCACACTAATGAGGACAGAATATATCCAGTTAAAGAGAATATAAAGTGTAAACCAGGTAAAAATCTTGGCAGCAAATTTTCCTTTTCTTTTTATTTCTCTTTTTCTTTTAAACCAGTGCTAACATACTGCTCCTCTTATGGTATGTTAGCGCCATGCTACCAGGGTTAGTTTGTCTTGTATTATTGGAACGTTAGCATGTTAGCTGGTTAGCTCTCTGCTAACTTGCTCAGACCACACTAATTGAGCACGGAACATATCCAGTTAAACCAGGTAAAAAGAATCTGTTGGCGACAAATGTGTGATGTTCAGCTGGCAGTTCTTCACCTAGTTGGATTTTATGTGCACAGATTTCAACAATAAGCTTTTTCAAGTACTGATTACGAAGCCACATTCATTTGTCCTCTGAAGCTCAGCACTGTCTTGAGAGGTTTATGTTCACCAAATAGCTGATGTAGCAGTTAGCAAGCTGGCTAACTCATCACCATAAAAAGTAAAAACACAAAGTGAACAAAATTATGTTAGAAAATTGCACCCTGCTGAAAAAGCAGCACAGTCCAATATGAATTTCATGCTGGTCTATAGTGGTTTATGCTGGTATAGTGCTGGTTTGGTGCTGGTTTAGCAGGTCACCCAGCATGTTCAGCGTACCAGCAACCAAAACACAACAAGCGCACTGCTACTGGCTGGCATTGGAGCCTGAGACTTTGGAGGCATGGCTATTGCAATGACCACACGTAAAGGCTCATAGTATGCGCATGCCTTTCCAAAAAGTGACTATTTATGTTGTTTATGATATTGTCTGTTAGTTTAAGTTGTGTATACATGTTATTTGTGTTATTTAGTTGGGGTCTTGTGTTTTTTGCATGGGTTGGTTGTCATCTGGATGAAGTGTCTGGGTAGAGGTGACCTTCCCTGCGAGTTTGGGGCTCTGTATGTGCCCCTTTCTGCAGGTATGTTCAATAAAGAGCACTTTTTGCAGCAGAGCATGGCTACCCCTGTTTTCTTCCTCTGCCAATGACACACTGGTGTCAGAAGTGGGATTGGGCCCCCCAGTGGCCTAGAGGACTCGAAGGCAGATGGTGAGAAAAGCACCGCCATGGGCAAAAGACTGTGATGACGGGGACGACACTGCGAGGCTCCACGGTGCGGCAAGACTGGAGGTCAGAGCAAGCACGGGAAGGCCAGACAACAGGGCCGGTGTGAGGAGATTCAGCAGCAAATTTGACATGGCGAGGCACCGTATGCTGGTTTTGCTGGGTTTTCCAGCAGGTTATACTTGCCAAAGCACAGCGCTGCACACTGATCTATATAAAAAAAAATAAATTATTGGCGTGATTGGCGGCAGTGAGGTGACTTGTGTGCAGCTGCAGTTAGGCAAAAAGCTAACGTTGCAGTTAGCAAGCTGGCTAACTCTTCAAAAAACCCACCAAAGTTAAGATAATAATAGAAAAAGTAACATAATTAGTGAAAATTCACTGGCAAATGCCATGTGTGACTTGAAATACAAAATCTAAACTAAATGTTTTTGGTGATTTATTTACTTTATTTCTATAGTAAAAAATCACTTCACATTAAGTACTGATCAAAATGTTGGTCCAACCTAATTTAATGAACATTTTTGATTATTTTAAAGCCATTTTGGACAAAAACTCCTAGTGAAATGCTTGAATTTTGTTTCTAAGACAAAACTACATAATGAAGTTGTCTTTTATAATTTATTTCCCAATCAAACATTTTAAATGTGAAAAAATACGTTAAAATACTGTGCAAAAGTCAGAGACCATCCTT